CAGTGATTCCGGGGATCGTCACGTCACGTACAGGTTCACTTAAAACGTATAACTTAACCTCCTATTATTAGGAACGTTACCGTGTATTTGCAAAATTGTGTACAAAAAGGTATTTTAATTCCAACGTACTTGACACATTTTTACTCGGAACCCACTAATACAGGGATCCATTTAATACTATTTGAAATGAATATATTACTTAGTAGCTCCTGTAACGCAATGTGAATCGGATCGAGTTTTGTGTATAGATGTTGTGAAATTCTAAACCATGACGTATTATTTACATTTCAGACTGGCTTTTCGGACATCATTGGAGAACCTGATGGCGCCCATAGTATCAAGTGCGTGTTTTGCTGCGCCTACTTCTGGTATTCGTGCTGCTGGGCCTGCGTCTACAACATCCTGATGATCTTCCTTGCCATCCCCATATCTTGTTGGTGGGGTTGCTCCTTCGCCTTCATTGCTCTCAACCACATTTGGGTGATCACGCCATTGACGAGATTCTGCGAGATCGAATGTGGATGCGCCCAGAAGTTCTTCGGAACCGCCATCAGCTGTTGTTGTGCTCCAATCATGGAAACGTGTGGATTGGTGTTTAGCAAGATCAAGGTCACCAATGGCTAGACAATACAGAACATTTCCATCGATGTTGAAGATCCAATGCCTTTTGGCTAGGGACTTGTATGGGTTGCCATTATACATTATCAAATATCAACCCATCAGTTTATATATAGCGACTTCTGATTATTATTGTCATCATGAAACATCATATTACCTACAACTTGTGACGTTTTAATCAAGATGACGTTAAGCTTGCAGTTGCTGATTTTTACTGTTGAGTCAAAGAACCAAACAGTTTTGTTTAGCACCTCTGGAATAGTCATCTAAATATAATCTGGACACCCTATTCTTTTAGGAAGTTCTACTGTAATGAATTTTACACGGAAACTTTGAATTCTTTTTTCTTCTATAGACGAAGACTGTGATATCTAATAAAATCAAATGTAAATATATTCATTCTGCCTTTCGTATACTAATTAATACATTGCACAAATCAAAATGATCTGGCTATCCATTTTGCCATTTAGTAAAATTACTTTAAAATTGTTTGATTTGCTTGAAATTGTTTGGTTTGCTGAAAACATTGTGGGTATTCCAAAACTATGTTGATGATAGCATTATTTCAACCATATGTCTTGTATGAGATGATTACCCTCACATGAAAATGCATTCCCTTTTGTCTATCGATGGCCAGATCTGCCCGTCCATGTCAAACATCCGCGAGGCAAGCACGTACATTTTCGCATTAAACGTACATTGTTACGTAACGGGATACTTTCGAACCCTTATGAGCATAATTGTTAACTAGATGCTTTGTTGTCTTAACTCTATCTCTCACATTTTGTTGAAACGTAAATAACAGTCACAATTCAAGTTTTAGTTCTACGTAAGAAGACAGTTTGAATATTTTCGAAATCGTGTGAGGAAAAGGGTATCACTGTAATATTTACTTTTATTTCACATTCTTGCTTTCCTTTGATTAGTCAAATTAAATCAATTATAAAAAATTGTCCGGATTTTTAAAAGCAACAACAATTAGCTCATAAATTCCTCATTGATTTGTTCACTAAGAGATGGTTTACAATTTCTGGCATAATGTAAAGGCATCCACTTTTCCAATACCCCTAAAATTTCAAGCATATCAATTTTGCTCACCTTCAAACAAATCTAACATATTTTCGAATATTTTCTCGAAATCTTCATACACATAATGAGTCAATGTCCTTGGAAAAACCATTCTATTTAACGAATCGTGATTTACACAAAATGTTACGCTCAGTAGAGTTTGACATTTGTAAACTAGAAAACGTCAACTCCACAGAGTTTGAATACTAGTACAAGGCACTAACATGAAAAAATGTCATCACTTTTCAAAGGTCATTGAAGGTCAAATCTCAAAACTAAAGTCAGATTTGAACTTCTGAGAACTTGATGATTTTGAAAAAATGGTCAATTAAAAACCCATAGACCTATACGTTTACTTATCATAATTGAAACGATCTAAACTAGACTGAAAGTTATATTAGACTTAAAGTTAGTCTAGACCTAAACTAGACTGAAAGTCAACCTGTATGTGCAGACCTTAACTAGGATGTTGTATGATTTTGTTACAGACGCCGACCGCCGAACACCAAACGCCGAACACCACGCATTCATAAACAAGTTGGAGCAATATCACCACGTTTTGTCACGAGGTGACATAATTATAAAGCCATAGTTCAGAAAGATGTCAAAATCTACGAAAATTCCTGTTTTCCCTACCCCATAGCCCCTGGGTCTCATGCCGAAAAACAAGGAATATGTCATCTCTATAAACCAGAATGTCAAACCAATACTCATTACTTTGTCTAGAAATGAAAAACTTCGATTTTTGCGAAAAATTCCCGCAATTTTCAAACCAGCAGCCATCTTGAAAAAATATTTTTGCGTAAATTATTTACCAATATCAATGTTTCCACCAAATATGAAGGAAATCCGTCCACTAATATTTGAGTTATTTTCCGGAGAGATTGATGTCTCACAACAAAATTGTGCAGACTCGGAGGTACGATTTTTTCGATTTTACAAATCTACGACTCGCACAAGGTGTTGAAAATATATTTTTCCAAGATGGCCGCCGGTTTGAAACCTATAAAATTTGAACCGTATCTGACAACTCGTATTTGAGTTATCGGCCCTGAAATACTAACTAACGGACGTACAGCTTCTTTAAATTCTTCTTAATCTGCTTTTGATGTGATTGTAAATGACTGCTAATCTTTTCAGGTTACACAAATCAAAATAGAGTTGAAGGTTGGTGAACAACCTATTACATAAAGGCACAAAAATGATGCATCATCAAAATATTATTTGTCATAGGACTAAAATAAGACTAAAATAATATAATAACATAACAAAGTTGTGTTGTTTACTTACATATCCAAAGCAACTTAGCTATAATGACGATGAGTAAACCCATGAACAATACTCACAGGACAAATTTGTTGAATGTCATTTAAATATTTTATTTAATTGATGTAATACAGTTAGTAACCATGTCCTGATCCTAGCTTATCATCCCAAAATGTTTTTATTTTACTATGATCGTAACTTGAACAGTTGATAGACCTGGATATAAACATTCCTTTTAAATATCACAGATTGAAACCCCAGGATTGAAAAAGTGTGTGCTTTTAAAAATTAGAATTTAAAATGTGCTTACTAGGTGAGCTTTGATATTTCTTAGAAAAGACTGTGCACATCAAAGTCTATGGTGCAAGTTAATGTTTTATGAGAACATGTTCTGCTTACATCAAACCATAAAAAAACATTTTGAGTGATGTAGGACCAGAATTACAGACACTGTCCTTTTAAATATAGCTTTGTATACGGATAACCCAAACCAGAAGAGCCCGGTAGAAGAGCACCAACTATAACGTTTGTAGAATAATGTACATAAAAATACATGTATTGCACTTTACAATTATTAGCACATTTTAGTTAGAGTTTTCTATGGATTATTTTTAGTTCCTTAATTATATACATATAATATAAGCAGTAGTACACTATCTGCAACTGATAAAATCATATCATTTAAAGATATTTAAATTCATATGGGCCATGAATCAATTTACTTAGAAGTGCTAGCAACATCATGCAAATTACAAAAATATTTTTGCAATTCATAGTTTATCTGTACATGGTATAATGTTGTATATCACTGTGTAACTTTTATTCAACTTAATTCCCGGGTTTATGTCATAAATTCATAAATCTGATACCGATGGTAAATGTACTCCAAAGGGTAGTAGCAAATAAGACATTAACAATTAACATGCAAAATGTCACCCCTGCCATTACCTGATGAGAATCTCATGCTAAACTTGATTTCCATGTGACAAAGCACAGCGTGTACATAACAAGCAGTTCAACATGTACGTATTGGTCTTAATAATGGAAATAATTCTTGGGGTAGCTAAAGGAGGACATATATTTTTCAACACGTTTGAAATGTAGTATGGACCACTTCCTTTTTGTATAAATGTATCTAAAAAGATTTCTGACAGGCAATTGCCATTTCAAAAATGAAACTTGCATGATCGCAGAACGATGTTTTTTCAACTTTACTTTATATAAAGCTAGTTTTCTGGATTATCTTGTTATAGTTTATCCATGCTGTTTGAGTGATCCCCATACAGTTGACTGACGGATGAATGGATGGTGAGACAGCTTCTCATCATCGTTCTGTTGGATAATTATCTACTATAAGTCATTATACCCGCTTTGATCCAGCACAGTCTAATGACGCATCGTGTGCGTATTGTAAACAATGTGTTGTTTACTTACATACGATATATATGTAACTTGTGAAATAGCCAATTAATTATGACACAAAATAACAATAATATACATAATAGACATAATTGCTTTGAAATAAAGGACATAGACTCCATGCCCAGATATTAAGAAGAAGATATTAATATTAATTTTTGATATAAAGAAGTTAAGATGCTTTAAAACATTTATGAGTCATATCTTAAGGCAAAATGAATATGGTCCAGAAAAACTACAATTTGTCGCAATAAGATCTCATCAGACACAGGCAGTATGACAAAATGCTATTTTAAAATAATATTCAAGGAATTGGCATAACATGTTTTCTACAGTGAAACCTGTAAAGTGGAACACCTCTAGAAATGGAACACCTCTGTTAGTGGAACATTTTTCAGAGTCCCAAGACCAACTGACTTAATGTTAAATAAACCTCTATAAGTGGAACAACTCCAAAGAAAATAGGAACATTTTTAGAGGTACAAAAGGTAATCCACTTAAACAAGTTTTACAGTATGTGTATATGGATGCACTTTTTATGCAATGATATATGACAATACATGTACTTATTAAAATAAAAATATTAACATCAGTTATTATATTATTAATGGTAACCCAATCAGAGAGTGAAGAATAATAAAACAAATACTTCATTCTATTTTCGCTACACCATCACAAATTCATATATTCCACACACCTTTCGAGGTTTGTAGATTCTCATGAAGGATGCAAAGGTATTCACCTCAAAATATTTACATAGCATACATAATTTTGGCACACATAATTTAGACATTCAAAGTACTTAAGTATTAATAATATGGCATATAGCAAAAAACATTCTGCTAAAATATCAAGACATGTACAACATACTGTTTGGTTGAATCTTCATATTTGCACTTGGGTTGTCTGTATTCAATTATTTAAATACAATATTCCAAGACTGGTTTGTAGTAAAGAATATATTGCACTGCTCAAATAGATAGGCTGTTTGTATTATAAATATATTAAATACCGATATATGAACTTTACATTAAAACATGTAATGTGGAGCACTTCTAAAGTCAAACACACCTTCATTAGTGGAACACTTCAAAGACTCTTGTCCATGAACTTATATAAAATTAACCTCTGTATGTGGAACACCTCACAAGTGGAACAATATATCGATGAATATGTAAATGTGTTCATGTACACTGGTTTTGCTGTATGTATTTGAAAATGACTAGAATTCAGTTTTTCCAGTTGAATCTTTCTGAGTTAGTTCTGCATCCTCTCGACCAATCAGATTATCAGCCATTTTGTAACTTCAGTTCATTTTCTAGCTTCTTTAGATTCTGCTCCTGAATATCTCTGAAAATAAGTTTATCATTTAACATTGCATATCAAATTCCATAATGACAGATTCAACCAGTCAGAGTGTATATAAATAGCTTTTCAAAGCAAACATTTAGCTTTCAATTTTTAGAATTCTTAGAATATATGGTATACAGTATAAAGCAGCACAGTGATTTGAAGTGACATCTATTTAAGACATCAAAGTTAAATTCATTAGTGGACACAATATGATTCAAAATAGATTATATGACAAAAAGTGGAAATTCAATTTTTACTGTGTTGATATTCATTTTTTATTCAATAATAACCTTTAAATTTTTATCAGCAAATTTAGCTCTCCAAGGTGTAATTACAGGGTGTCAAATAAGTCCCGTCCCCCCCTCTACAGCCAAAACCAAGATATTTGGTACCAAGTGTGATATATCATTGGAAAGGTCTTCCAAAGTTACGTTGATTAGAATATATCTGACACATGTCAACCAATCTCACAAAATTTTACATTGTATCAATTGAGGTGACCATAGGCCTAGAAACATGGCAATTTGGCGTATTTGGCAGGATTTTAAGAATCGGGTATAAGAACAGTCAAAGGACCAAAAGATGACTAAATATGTATATGGCAATGAATTTAACCAATTGCTGGATAGGGTTAGCTGTGTAGAAAATAAAAGTGCAAGGAAAGTGGTGAAAATCTTTTTGTATAACAAGTGGAATGCGAAAAAGATAAACTTTTTGACGTTTTTCTGAGGTCATATCCTTGTCATTTTGACGATAAAAGCTGCTTAAAGAAGGGCACATTAACTATAAAGGACATCATCGAAATATAGGTAAATTTCATCCAAAATACTTGAGAGTTGGTGAGTTAACATAACTTTGGATGATCTTTCCAATGGTGTATCACACTAGGTACCATCTATTAAGGTTTTTGCTGTAGCAGGGGGGACGGGACTTATTTGACACCCTGTAGTTCAATAATCAAACCTTTATTTCTGAAGTTTGCATATAACAAAATATAAACTATGGAGAGAATGAAGGAAGTCAGCCAACGAATATAAGTGTAACGATATTGCATTTTGGTGCATTAAAAAAATAACAATGAGTTACAATCCAATATTTTCCCTACCTTTCCCTGTTATAGGAGGTAAACTCTTTATCTATATTTTCCAGGCACAGTTGCATAGGATCCATATCCTAGAATCAATACAAGGACATTTAGTTAACTATAAATACTTAAACAAGGCATTAATAACATGCAAAATATCACCACCTCTCATTTGTTACAGATGCCGACTGCTGAATGCCAAACACCGACCACTGAACATTGTTCACAATAAAGTTGAAGACTATAATAATAATGATAATTTGGGAAATTGTTGTTGATTAAATGATAAGCCAATGGATTAAGAGGTCCATATTCTCCTTACAAGCAATCTTCAGATTCAATATCAGAAATGAGAAATATCTAAACACGGTTAACATGCAAAATGTCACCACCTGCCATTTGTTACAGACATTTAACTCTGAACACCAAACACTAACTGCCAAACAACATCAAAAAAAACAAAAAGTTGTGGTGGTGACATAAAAAGTTACTTCTTAATTATCCCCCATGATGTAAAACAGTAATGGCTAAAACTGGGTCTAAAAATATTTGAACTATTTTTTTCAAAACAGTGACATACATCTTGTGAGGGATCCTTCTTTGAGTTTTGTTTGGCTAAGCGTTTCTTCTTCTTGTGTAATGGTTTTGCTTCTATGATCATTTCTTCCAGTTCAAATGTTGGATCACAGTTCAGATGGTCCTTCTGGAATAAAGACGTTAATTCACAGTTATTAAAGTTCCAAGGGTCAGAGATGAGTAAATGAGAAACTTAATTCAGTGAAACTTGTATATCTGATCATCTCTCTTCTCCAAACACTGAAGGTGAACCATTTTTCTTGGTCCCAAAGGTCCTTGTGCAGTATGGCAAGTGATTTTAGACGGTCATATTTTTCACCATGGGAACTTTATAGCCATAAATACAGTGGTTTTTATTAAAACAATGTTTTCTTTCAAGTGAAGTCCTCATGATAGTAAACTATCAATCCAACTCTATGAAAAATTATGGATTAGGACTCCACCTTGGCACTTTTCTAAAAATGTTAGGCTCATTTTCGAAAAAGAGGATCCTGTTTTTCTCAATTTAAACATATCGAAAGTTTCTTCTTCATTTTATAAACAATTTCTGAAAAGGGGATGGATATTGAAATGCCACAGGGAAAACTCATGCTATCCATTGTTTTTAGCATAATTTTGGTCATCGAAAATTTATATCTTCAAAACTAGACTTTCAATACCATTCTACTATTGAAGAGGCTTTAGACCCCTTGTTGAATGTTATTTTTATGTAATGAAAATCAGAAAAAGAAAATCCTCTTAAATAGGTTCAACAATTTGAAAAAAATCTTGACATGAGCTCCCTATTCATAATTTTTCGAATTGCTTGATTGATGTCTTTATCATCATGGGTACATCGATCACTTAAATGAAGAAAAAATTGTTTTAATAAAAACCAATGTATTTATATCCAAAAAATACTCATGGTGAAAGATATGACAATCTAAAATCACTTGCCATACTGCACAACATATACCTTTGATATCTCCAAGATATCTCTCACATATTTAATAAAAAGAACCATTGAAATCTGAACACCTCCTAATTCAACCACCAGCATTCAGATTAGACATGTTTTACTGTATTTCCTCTCACTTATGACTACAACATACAGACTGACCAGCAAGTACTTACAGTAAAACATGCCAAATCCAAACTCCACTGCGACTGGATATACAGGTTTAACTGTACAACCCTAGTCTGCTTGAATTCCTTTTACATTTCCCTCAATTATGTTCTCAACATGAACTAATAATTTATAATTAAGTTCTTACTGCAGGCACGAAGCGAGGCTTCATTCTTCTTTTGATTACATCAGAAAACATCAGGGACGTCATGAGAGGATGACTTTCTAATGATTCTAAACTAGTTAACCTGTTGGCAGGCTCTATCGTTAATAACTATAAATAAAAAATAAATAAATACATAGTACTGGATCATAGATAGAACCACATGTACTTGTGTTAACAGTGCTAGAAATGGGAGTGTGATACCGGATCTCTTTATCTTTCAGTTTATTATATATGTATACATGTAAATAAAATACATTCCTGTGTATGATGCATAAGTTTGACACATTATGTAATAAAACTGTACCAAGAGTTTTAAATTAGAGCCCTCGTCATTTTCAAAGTTAAATATTGGTACACACCTAGAAACATACATTAGATAGATACACATATGCAATACTAAGATATGAATTGTAAAAATCCTTTTTTCAACACACAAACCTTTTTAATCAAATCTTTCATATTGTCAGTCCAAGTGTTGGGGTATGTTATAGTCACAGTGGTGAACAGCTGCTTGACCTCTTGTAGGCTGGTTGTGGAATGTATATCATAAGGGCGCTGGAAAAACAATGTTAAGGCAATGTTAACTCTTTGAAATTAAGAGTTGGGGTATGTTATAGTCACAGTGGTGAACAGCTGCTTGACCTCTTGTAGGCTGGTTGTGGAATGTATATCATAAGGGCGCTGGAAAAACAATGTTAAGGCAATGTTAACTCTTTGAAATTAAGAGTTGGGGTATGTTATAGTCACAGTGGTGAACAGCTGATTGACATCTTGTAGGCTGGTTGTGGAATGTATATCATAAGGGCGCTAGAAATACATGTTAAGACAATGTTAATCCTTTGAAATTAAGAGTTGGGGTATGTTATAGTCATAGTGGTGAACAGCTGATTGACATCTTGTAGGCTGGTTGTGGAATGTATATCATAATAAGGGCGCTGGAAACACAATGTTAAGACAATGCTTACCCTTTGAAATTAAAAGTTTTCAATGTAAGGGTTTATCAATATTCTGTTCTATCTATTGAAGTGGTGCTCACTTAACACTGGTGTTCACTAGAGAAAGGTGTTCTATCTATAAGACAGGTTTTACTGTATATGAACATTAACAGCATACAAGTAATTATTTCCATTTGTTTTGTCATTTTTAATCTTTTAATAAAGAGGTTTTGTAACTATGACATGAAATATGCCCGAGTTCTGCCAATATAAGCCAACCTTGGGAAGAACCAAGGTATACTTCCCATCACATTTACATAACTGATGAATTGCATTGCATACCTTTATTCCCATGACTACCATGTGTTAATGAAGTCCTACATCTGAGTGTACGTAGAATTTGGTAGAAATGAAACATGTTGTCATGGTAACTAACAAAAGCTGGCTATATGAGCCTGTATAGCTAGCCTACTTGCTATATGAGCCTGTATAGCTAGCCTACTTATCTCCTGACTTTCATCCAAGTGTTTCACTAGGTTTGTAATACTGCTTGATATTGGCCATAATAATTGAGGAGTCAAGACAGAATGATACAAACTGAATTCATGTGATTTTTAAGTTTGGGTGACATTGACCTTTACTCAACATGATATTCGCTTTATCTAAGATGTACACCTAGCTTCTTTTAGTAGGGATACAAATTTATTGCATAGATTAATAAAATTTATTGCATAGATTAATGAAATTTATTGCATAGATTAATGAAATTTATTGCATAGATTAAGTATAGGATATCCTATGATTTTGAGTGATATCACTTTTATCCACGAGTTGATATCAATATCTGGATGAGCGAGTGTAGCGAATGAGTGCAGATATTGACATCAATGCATGGATTATATTACGAAATTTCGTAGGATGTTCTATTTATCCCATAGTTCACTTATAAAACTAAACCAAGCATTTCAAAACAACATGCATTAATTTAACAGATTACGTCATGAAATCATCGCATAATAATACTTGTCACATCGGAGGGAGTTTTCAAATCTGTGGAAAAATGTGATACCTATGGAATATCATTGTATTCCACAGATTCCACGCATTTGCAAAATATCATAAATGTATTTACAAGTTATCATACAGACCTCAACTATGGGATAATGAAATTTATTGCATGGATTAATTTGCAATGAGAGTCTCACCTTTCCTCTGAGAGTTTCATATGCTAAGACACCAAGTGACCACCAGTCCACAGGGAAACTGTAGCCTGGACACTCCTCCAGTGAGCAACCATACACCTCTGGTGCTGCAAACACAATTAATTAGTTAATTAAATTCACTTTTCTGTAACACTACAATTAGTCAATTGTTAAGCTAGAAATAAAGCTGATGGTTGCTTGTCTGCATGAAACATAGTAAATGATATTATCATTACAATGACAAAAAAAACAATAAAATATTTGAATTGAAGGAATTGCAATTAATTTTTAAGAAAGAACATAATTGCAGACAAAATCAAATCAATGAGCCTGACAAGGAGTTTTATTTTAAACATGCACATTTTAAACCAGAACAACGGCAACGCCAAAGCGTAGCGAATCCCATCGAACAGAAATGACTGGCATTTTTACAAACGAAATATATAGCAAATATCATAAAACAACACACCAGAAAGGCCACCATTTTCAAAATGGTTAGCCAAGTTGTCAGCAGAAGAAATAATATGCTTTTAGTAGCCACCTAAAAAATTTTTGAAAAATCGCAAACATGTACTTGTGAAATAACACAGTATTCACATATCAAATATGAACAAAATTGCTCCACTACTTTTCGAGTTATAGTAAGAAAATGTAAGCCATTTTTTAAAATGGCCGCCTATCCGAAGTGTCATGAGACAGTGTGCAAGGCTAGTGAGTATTCACATATCAAATATGAACAAAATCGCTTCACTACTTTTCAAGTTATAGTAAAAACGTAAAAATGGTGGTCATTTTTCAAAATGGCCGCCTTCTACCCAAAGTGTCATTAGACAGTGTGCCATGCTTATAGTATCCACATATAAAATATGAAACATACCAAATATGAACAAAATCGCTGAACTACTTTTCAAGTTAAAGTAAAATACGTGGGGCCATTTTTCAAAATGGCCACCTTCTACCAAAAGTGTCATTAGACAGTGTGCCATGCTTTTAGTATTCACATACCAAATATAAACAAAATCGCTCCACTACTTTTCGAGTTATAGTGAAATACGTTAAAATGGCAGCCATTTTTCAAAATGGCCACCTTCTACCAAAAGTGTCATTAGACAATGTGACATGCTTATAGTATTCACATACCAAATATGAACAAAATTGCTTCATTACTTTTCGAAATACGTTAAAATGGCGGCCATTTTTCAAAATTTTTTCAAGATGGCCGCTTTCTACCAAAAGTGTCATAGGACAGTGTGCCATGCTTATAGTATTCACATACCAAATATGAACAAAATTGCTTCCCTACTTTTCGAGTTATAGTAAAATAAGTTAAAATGGCGGCCATTTTTCAAAATGGCCGCCTTCTACCAAAAGTGTCATAGGACAGTGTGCCATGCTTATAGTATTCACATACCAAATATGAACAAAATCGCTCCACTACTTTTCGAGTTATAGTAAAATATGTTAAAATGGCGGCCATTTTTCAAATTTTTTTTCAAAATGGCCGCCTTCTACCAAAAGTGTCATAGGACAGTGTGCCATGCTTATAGTATTCACATACCAAATATGAACAAAATCGCTCCACTACTTTTCGAGTTATAGTAAAATATGTTAAAATGGCGGCCATTTTTCAAAATGGCCGCCTTCTACCAAAAGTGTCATAGGACAGTGTGCCATGCTTATAGTATTCACATACCAAATATGAACAAAATCGCTCCACTACTTTTCGAGTTATAGTAAAATATGTTAAAATGGCGGCCATTTTTCAAATTTTTTTTCAAAATGGCCACCTTCTACCAAAAGTGTCATAGGACAGTGTGCCATGCTTATAGTATTCACATACCAAATATGAACAAAATCGCTCCACTACTTTTCGAGTTATAGTAAAATATGTTAAAATGGCGGCCATTTTTCAAAATGGCCGCCTTCCACCAAAAGTTTCTTTAGACAGTGTGCAATGTTTATAGTATTCACATACCAAATATGAACAAAATCGCTCCACTACTTTTCGAGTTACAGCAAAAATCGTAAAATAACGAGTAAAGGCCGCCATTTTTCAAGATGGCTGCCATGTGCTCTTTTAATATCTACATTTGTAGCTTTATTAATGTCCTTTATAATTTTTTTACACTTAAAACATATTGCTATTACAGTTTTACATATTGTACCTAAATTACTGTAAAATCGGCACTAAAATGGCCGCCATTTTGAAATGAGCGGCCATTTTGAAAATCGGCTTTCGAGCAGAACTTCTTCTCCCATAGGGTATATGTGTACAAAATATGAACAAAATCGGGCCAACGGTATTTGAGTTATTGCCCGGACGGACAGACGGACGGACGGACGGACGGACGGACGGACGGACGTACGTACATACGGACGGATTGACGGAGGCGTTCCCTATATCCCTCCGAACTTCGTTCGATGGGATAATGAAGCAGCCATACTGACACTTCCTACTTGGGCAGAAGTCCTATGCCCAGAATGCAAAATCCTTTACAATGTAAACCAAACGTGACAACAATTAATATCACCTGGACAGACAAACTGATGGATGAGTGGATGAAATATATGGATAAGGCTTCTCTCTATCTAACTCCAGCTCGTTCACTGGGATAATTGCAATAATATTTGATAAATATATCTCACTTACCCATATAAGGTTTTGTTCCAGACAGGGATGTTGCCAATTGGTTATCATGTAGAACTGTGGCAATGTTGAAATCTGTTATATGTACATGCCCTGGAAGAAGTACAATTAAACATTATGTTATCATGTAGAACTGTGGCAATGTTGAAATCTGTAATATGTACATGCCCTGGAAGAAGTACATTTAAAAAGTAGGTTATCCTGAAAACTGTAGCAACATTGAAATCTGTAATATGTACATGCCCTGGAAGAAGTGCAATTATCATTATGTTATCATGTAGAACTGTGGCAATGTTGAAATCTGTTATATGTACATGCCATGGAAGAAGTACATTTAAACATTAGGTTATCATGTAGAACTGTAGCAACATTGAAATCTGTAATATGTACATGCCCTTCAAGAAGCACATTTAAACATTAAGTTATCATGTAAAACCGTGGAAATGTTAAAATCTGTTATATGTACATGCCCTGGAAGAAGAACAATTAAATATTATGTTATCATTTACAACTGTGGCAATGTTGAAATTTGTTATATGTACATGCCCTGGAAGAAGTACAATTAAACATTAGGTTATCATTTAGAACTGTGGCAATGTTGAATTCTGTTATATGTACATGCCCTACAAGAAGTACAATTAAACATTAGGTTATCATGTAAAACTGTGGCAATGTTGAAATCTGTTATATGTACATGCCCTACAAGAAGTACAATTAAACATTAGGTTATCATGTAGAACTGTGGTAATGTTGAAATCTGTTACATGTACATGCCCCCCTGGAAGAAGTACAATTTAACATAAGATTATCATGTAGAACTGTGGCAACATTTAAATCTGTAATATGTACATGCCCTGCAAGAAGTACAATTAAACATTATGTTATCATGTAGAACTGTGGCAATGTTGAAATCTGTAATATGTACATGCCCTGGAAGAAGTACAATTAAACATTATGTTATCATGTAGAAATGTGGCAATGTTGAAATTTGTAATATGTACATGCCCTGGAAGAAGTACAATTAAACATTAGGTTATCATGTAGAACTGTGGCAATGTTGAAATTTGTTATATGTACATGCCCTACAAGAAGTACAATTAAACATTAGGTTATCATGTAAAACTGTGGCAATGTTGAAATCTGTTATATGTACATGCCCTGGAAGAAGTACAATTAAACATTAGATTATCATGTAGAACTGTGGCAATGTTGAAATTTGTTATATGTACATGCCCTACAAGAAGTACAACTAAACATTAGGTTATCATGTAGAACTATGGCAATGTCGAAATTTGTTATATGTACATGCCCTAGAAGAAGTACAATTAAACATTAGATTATCATGTAGAACTGTGGCAATGTTGAAATTTGTTTCATCTACATGCCCTAAGGACAAGCAAATTAAGGTTGGACTCAGAACATTATCTATAGAAACTCAATAAAATGATGCTTTTGAGGGTCAAATGAATTAGAATCCTAAATATATTTAATTTTCAACTGTCAATAATACTTTCAAATTGTGCGATCATCCAAAATACTCCTATGACAGTTTAAATATTATAAAAATAATGTGAATGATACAGGAAAAGTTACCAAAATATATATTTCACTGGCATCCTAGGCTACACACATCCCAAAGTCAAACCATATTAAAGATATGCCAGTATTAACTGTACTGTTGAAGGCTATCATAGGAATTAATAAGTGAAAAATGGAATTCTGCCTACTTCAGGTATTTTCAAGTTCATTTTCCAATTAACGACCATCCAAAGAAATGTACTTTTGGGAACATAACCCATCTGAATAATCGCTGATTTGTGATCTGAAATCATACTTATGAGCCTCTTAGGCTTGTATTCTGTACTCATTAAGGGTTATTCTATGTTCAGTAGTTTGATGCATCAGAGTAGATAGTAGTACTAGAAGAGTAGGATGCTCCTACATCGAAAGCACAAACAATAAACTTTGGAGGTTCCCATCCACTGGCGGATTAGGGGGGGGGGGCCTGGTGGCCCCCCTTGGGTGGGCCCAGAAAAAAAAATTGGGCCCAAAATTTTTTTTGGGCCAAACAAGGCCTTCAGGCCCCAAAAAGTGGGCCTTTTTGGTCATTACTGGGCCTTTTAAGGCCTTATTTTTTAATTTTAGGCCAAATTTTGAAGAAAATGGGCCCAAAATTTTTTTCTTTAACCTGAAATTTGGCCCCCCCCCCTTGTTGGTTCCTAGATCCGCCCCTGCCATCTACATAATCACTCAAGAGCTCTCAGAACAAATTAGTATGTCAAGAGATCTCCACACAATTAAGAGTACTATTACCCAGGGGGCAGTTTCTATTTATATGTGTACTGCATACCCCAAAAACCAATCTTCTTACACAGTTCTCTCAGATGCTTGTTCTAACTTTAACTTTCGCAATATAAAGTTTTAGTACATCTACATGGTACATGGTTTAAGTAATAATTCAATAATCCAGCCAAATTATTCTAGCTTAGTCCATCTTGACTAAAAGTTTAAAGACAGAGAGGGCAAAAATAACCCCTGACTATTAGAGCTTGTATTCTGATCAGATCTTAATAATCTCAGTTTTAGCTTTAATGGTCTTTTATGGGAGTCTGAATGTGAAATATATGTCAGCTACAAACATAAAGACAAGGCATTAACATGCAAATGCACCGAACACCAACCGCTGAACCCAGAACATCGAACACCAACCACAAAACACTGTTCACTGAAATTTCTGGTATTCCGACTCTGGATTCTAATTGGATATAGGCCAGATCAAGAAATTATCTCAAATTTAAAGGTCTTAGAGACCGAGCTAAGGCAAAGAGTAGGGTGGAATAGACACAAACCATAGGTGCAGATGTTGTTGATTTTTTTAAAAGGTACCGAGTTGAATAGGCTAATGATTTTATCAGATAAACATACTCAACACCCTTGTGATTTGAGGTTCTTCCAAATGCTATTATGACCTTCTTAAGAACTGTTCCAAGACTTCGAAATGTTGCCATAACACCATCAAAAAAGGATTAAATAGACTTGTAATCTTTCCAGAGACCATACTGGTTTCCTGAGTAGAGTCATAAACATTATGACTTACAGCTATTTTATACTTCAATGCTGCCAGGCTGCTAAAATATTAAAAGCCCTTATTAAAAGTTACATGTTAACTTCGCTGTCTTATCAACAGACAATAGAAAAATATCATTAATCTTACAATTTCAAGAAGTTTGATTATAAATGGATTGCTAGTGATAAAGGCATCAATTTCATATTGATGAATGTAAAGGGAATGCAGAAAATGATATTTATTATAAGGGATTCTGAGATGGAAAACATAGCTATTAATCTAGTGGAACATTTTTGGTGGCATGTAATACCAAAAGGAGATTCTTATGCCTTGTAAATCAAGACAAACTAGAGCTTTTACAATTAATTTTGATGTCAGATCAACATAGCATTTATTAAAGATGCTGTATGGCATACTAAATGTTGATGTAAAATGAAGTTAATCACCGAGCTATGTTGAGCTTTCCTTATATAAATATTTTATATCTTGCAGACATTCCAAGAAACAACCCTTATATCTTGAACTTCATTATTGCATCAACTAGACTCATCCTTGTTCTTCAGTCTGCATACAGAGAGAAGATACAAGCCATGTCTTGTTCTCTTGCCAATGTTATTTTTACATCCCAATACAACATTAATTCTCCCTTACAAATAAATGATATGGAGCAGAATGGAAAATGTGGAACATGTAAGAATCTAAGGCTTGATCGGTGTAGCTACAATTCAATGAAAAATTGGTAAAATGCATATCAGTGATATTTCAATGGTTTATTTTGGGTGACATTGATATTTGATATTATCAAATTCATATCAACTTATATTGTCCGTAAATAGGGGAAATATAATTATGATTTACTAGTGGTAAGGTTGGTATGACATGTTGGAAACTCTATCATTGACAACAATCCAATATGCCCTCTGTCTAAATAACTATTCAACCGAACAAGAAAAATTACTCTTTCACCGCAGTTACACGCATCTGAAAGATCGCAATTAATTAACGAGGTTACATCGCAAAAAATGTCACCACCTGGTAGTAAATCATATAAGAAAGAGTCACAGGCCCGTAGCCAGAATTTTTCAAGGGGGGTTCACTTTTCCAAAAAATTCTAGGGGGGGGTTCACTTTGGCAAATTTGGCCAAAATCACTCAAAAAATAGTCAGAATGGTGAAAAACTGCATGATTTTGAAAGAAATTTTGGCCAGGGGGGGGGGGGTTCGCCCGAAACCCCCGAACCCCCCCTAGCTACGGGCCTGAGTCAGAACAATCCCATTCTGTGTCGTTCTTTTACTGACATTTGTCAGATACTTTCTTGCAGATATGCTACAGGTTGTGGAACCCACATTGTAATAACTGTAATTTGTTAGAATGTCACATAAATAATTACCATGGTAATAGATAGTTGTTGTGCACTTTGTAAAATTAAAGCAAAGCTACAAAATAATAAAATGTCATCACTATGTTACAACAATTATGATACAAAAAAATGTTACAAATATTCAAATCTTGTAAAACATATTGCTAAAGTAACCGATATTTCCTAAAACCCGAGAAAATGTAGTTTTAAAAGTAAAAACATAAAAATGGGGATTATGGAAATATGTTGCAATATATGGTGGTAGACAAATAATTTTTATGGAGCTTTTTCCTACAAATTTACTTACCTTCCTCATCCAGTAGGATATTGTCTGGCTTGATATCCCTGGAAGAGAAAATACCAAATTAAACCTAGATTATCTCTTATTTGTTATGGTTTAAATGTTTTGAAAGTTTTGAAACTAAGATACATGTATATATTCCATATTTTTCATTTCTCAATTTTTCATAATGTTCAAAGATTCGTTTTTTTTAAAACGGATTTCTTTTTAATTCTCAGTTTATTATGAAAGCATTGTATGAGTTACATTGCACAAGATATTGTAAAACCTGATTAGCTGAAACTGCTACTTCTCAACATCAATTGTATACAGGGTGTTCCAAAAGTAACAGGACTGGTGCTGGCATTTTGTTAAATAAGCACTAATCGTCTCCAAAATTTTACATAATGTACTTTCATGTATCGTTACTAAGACTGCACAGTTTCGACAAAATATATGAAAATCGGGTAGAGTTATGGTTGCTATAGCAACATGACATCACAATACCCGGGGCAACATTCCACACAAAAAGTTACAGAGACATTAAGCCTTTTGTACATGTCATATCATTTTGTACATGCTATATCATAGTTGAAATGCCACAACCTGTGGGAATTACATTTGTTTTACATCATTTGATATTCCTACTTTGAAAAATCGGCTCCTCCTTCATCAGTACAAGAGTAGTACTCTGTATCCATGACCCAAACGCATGAGTGAACCCATTTGACGACATGTCATGCAGGGTCGATTGAACAATTTGGAGAAGGTCATTCTCATCTTTAAAGGTCTTAAAGCACTGATTAGCATTCCATTCTTAATATAAGTAAAAATTAGATATTGCATGATCAGAAGAGTATGGTGCATGGTTTTAGACCTCAAGACCTAGCTCCTCTTTAGCTGCATGGTCTTTAATGGTGACCTGGGGGCAGGCGCGCTATCAAGGTAGATGAGTGGCTTCAGATTGGGTCTTTTCAAACACCCAACCATGAATTGTTCAGATTGTTATACATAGTGATATTCCAGGAAATTGAATAAATGTTATTATCATTATGAAAGTATACTTGAATCTGAGTTGTATAGCAACACCTTTACAACAAAGCAACTAATAAAATTAACAAGAAATGCTGTATTATAATAGGTGAATAAGATATTTTCTTCAGTAATACAAAAATGATGTCATGTTACTATAGTAACCATAACTCTAACCATATTTCATAATTTTTTCCGAAACTTTATAATTTAGGTTGCAATACTTCAAAGTTCAATTTGTGCAAATATGAAGATACTCAGTGTAAAAGTGACAAAATGCCAGCACCAGTCCTGTTACTTTTGGAACACCCTGTATACTGTAGTCATGTATACAGTATCTGATTTGGAGAAAATATAAATGATAGAGACTTGATTTCTCAAAATTGAGTCAAAAGTATGAGCCAGTAATTCTAAAATTTCTGAAAATTGCTGACAAATGGACATCACATGTATGAATGAGTGAAGCAAGATAGACAGACACACATACAGACAGACGTACCCTAAAAGGACAAATGGGTGATTACGAGGCTCGCCATGTTAGCCAAAAACATATCCTATGATTTTGAATTTTTGTAATAGACAGACAAATAGACGGATGGGCAGACAGATGGAGAAGTATGTACTCAATATGATTTTTCGTGATATCTTTTTGATCTAGTTCAAGGTTTTTCTCTATATCTTTTATCTCATCGTGTCAACAAGGCATTAACATGCAATATGTCACCACCTGCCTTTGTTACAGATGCCAACCACTGAATACCAGCCTATTGTTATATGCTGATTCTTCTTTCCCATTTATGACAAATCAGGAAATTGTTAAAATGACTGCAGGTTTACTGCAGTCAATTGTTTCGATTTTAAATGAGTAAGTTTTTACTGCTCTGTATGCCTGAGTTGTCACATAAGTTTCTTTGCGACTTTATCATTTATATTAATTCTTGATTACCAAGGCCAATAATGTATTGTGTTGGCCCTTGCTCTGTATGTAACATGGTTTTGATTAATATGATCATAAAAACCTTTGAACCTAAAACTGAACACCAACTGCCAAATGCTGAGCAACATCAACGAAAAAAAGGTTGGACTGGACTAAAACAATATTTCACCACTTGTGGTGGTGACATAATAATATGAAAACCTTTAACCCAAACCAAACCACTATATGTCATATTGATACTTCTACTTTTCTATTTCAGAAGAGGTTCATATTTTTAAAACAATCAATCCAGTAAGTTTTATAGATCATCTAAAGATAAGTCAATGCCCGGCAATCTAACATGCTTGTCTTATCTCAATTAAGGGAAATAATTATTAGATTAACCCATCTGCCATGTATACATCAATTGGCAACATACTATGCTTTGCTCTTGTGAAATTTCCATTTGATGTCTGATGTCATAAATCAAGGTAAGAGCGACATCAAAAGAGGCAGGTATTCATCCACAGAATCAAGTGCAAGACAACTTCAACTATCATAATAGGTCATTGGTGCTACATTTGAACTGCTAATCGATTTCCGGCTTATTCTTCCAAATAGCTACAAGCAACCGTACAGTTATCTCACAGTATTATAATTAATTTATCAACCCAATAGAGCGCAGATTTAATCTTTCCCTTGCAACATACGAACCTGTGTAAAATGTGGTTTTTCTGAAGGTAGTCCAATGCCAGTGCCACCTCGCATATATACAATGTAACATGGTCTTCCTCAAACCTTACATCCTGTTGTATATGATAGCGCAAATCCCCACCTAAGAGCAGATCAACTACCATGAACATATCCTCAGAATCTTGGAAGGTAAACCATAGATTTACAAGAAATGGATGTTCCAGTTTCATTAAGATCTCCTGTTCTCTTATCACATTCCGTATTGCATCTTTTTTAATGCACATAGCCTTGTTCATATATTTCATTGCAAACATTTTCTTTGTGTCTCTTTTCTGTACAATGCAAACCTGAAAGAAGTAAAAATCAAGCACTTTACATTAAGTTAAAACAATATAAGAGTAACAAATGGATTCAATATTGATATACAATGTTTCAAGGCCGAACATAAGGCTTTTTCACCCATCAATAAGAATACATTTTCTACAGTATAATCATGTTCAGAAAATTACAAATTTCACCAAGTCTTCTCTAATTAACTTTTAGGTATTCAATTTCACACATTTTTATCGAGTCTAGTATGTATCCAAGATGGTAATTTAAGATACATTCTGGTACATTGGTTATAACACTAGAGCCAACATAACAGGTAGATTCAGAATAATGTATATTAATTTCCATTTTATGATTTATACTGATTGAACAATTCATTTATTGAGTAAATCATTAAAAAACACTATTTCTTCCAGTAATATCCACAGATATTCCATGTAACAAGAATAACTAGTAATGGAACGATGATACAAATATAGAGGCAAATGACATTGTTCTACCTTGAGTAGAATTTATATCGAGTAATCAGCCCTAATGAAGGCTAATATAGGGAGACGGAGCATGGAAACACACAAATAGAGGTTAATAGCTATGGATATTCTTCAACCATATTAGTTTTGTATTTCACTCTTTGGATAAGTAGTGAGGATTATCTTTGATGTTTCAGGTCTTTTTATTGTAATTTTAAGAGGGAAGACCCTGAACCACACGTTTTTAATGAAAAATTATTGGGAGCTCTATCTCTAGTTCTGAACTACACGTATATTGATCAAAAAGTACATGATAGAACAGAGATTGTACTGATAATATCCAATCCATATTGATTACTGCTATGATGTCTTAAAGTTACAGAATCTGGATTATTAATTGTACTTGTGCAATTATGTCTGTAAAAAATTGTCCCTTAACATGATACGAAAAGTAATCTATACAAACAGTCCTGGAATCTTTTCATATATACAGTACAGTAAAACCTGTGTATATTAAACATTTTTTTGCCATGAAAAAATGCTGTGTTAGTAGGTGTTCACTACAGAGAGGGTAATTTACAGAAGTCAGTGGAGTATGTGTGGAGGAAGGGTGTTCACTAGAGACAAGTGTTCACTACAGAGAGGGTAATTTACAGAAGTCAGTAGAGTATGTGTGGAGGAAGGGTGTTCACTAGAGACAACTGTTCACTACAGAGAGGGTAATTTACATAAGTCAGTAGAGTATGTGTGGAGGAAGGGTGTTCCCTAGAGACAAGTGTTCACTACAGAGAGGGTAATTTACAGAATTCAGTAGAGTATGTGTAGAGAAAGGGTGTTTACTAGAGACAAGTGTTCACTCCATAGAGGGTAATTTACAGAAGTCTGTAGACTATGTGTGGAGGAAGGGTGTTCACTAGATACAAGTGTTCACTTCAGAGAGGGTAATTTACAGAAGTCAGTAGACTATGTGTGAAGAAAGGGTGTTTACTAGAGACAAGTGTTCACTTCAGAGAGGGTAATTTACAGAAGTCATTAGAGTATGTGTGGAGGAAGGGTGTTCACTAGATACAAGTGTTCACTTCAGAGAGGGTAATTTACATAAGTCATTAGAGTATGTGTGGAGGAAGGGTGTTCGCTGCTAGAGACAGGTGTTCACTTGAGAGAGGTGTTCACTTGAAAGAGGTGTTCACTAAGATCGGTTTTACTGTACATCTACATGAGAAATATTTTTGATATTGGAAAACGGGAAAGTAGAAATTATTATTGTAGTCATCTTGCCTCCATCTTATTTAAACTTCCTGTATGTTTGCTCATCTTGTATTATTGATATAATTAACCTGGTGTTTATGCCATTCTTGTGTATCGAATTCTTCATATCGATCTGGTTTGATTACAAAGTCTCAAACTGATTAGCTGTATTTTTGTTACAGATCTATAATCATTACAAAAATCATGACTATCATTTACCATGATATATTACAACAATTTATGTTTTATGCTTTTTGTGGTTTTTCATAGCTGCGCTAAAGCTGACATTTAATTACTATGGTTTTAGGATACTATTTCAATGACAATATATCATCATGGATGATACTAGTATTAGGCAGGGTTTCTTTATATGTTTCCCAAAATACCAACTTTTTGCATATAAGTGGACTTTTATATACATGTATAATGTGGCTTTATTTTATGAGCAGGCCAATCTTTTTATCTTGGTCAAGGTCAAAGGTCAGGTTGCAGCATTTGAAAAGCAGATTTTCCAAATTTGAAGGTCGAAGGTCACAAGCTCATCAAATTATGTCACAATGTCTCAATTTTGGAACTAGAGAACAATATTTCTGACATGCAGAATATACATTCCTTTAAATGCTGAACACATATTCACAATTAAGTATCTTTATCAATTTTGCACAAGTTTTGAGTACAAAAATGAAGAAAAGGCCAAATTTCAACAAGATCCAATTTTAAAAATCTTTAAATTGAACAAATTGCTTTTTTAAATCATCTCCAAGTTGCCAAGAGTTCATTTCTAAAATCTCAACTGATGTCTGACTTCTTGTTAATATTATGCATGTAAGTTAATTAATTAGTAAATAAAGCTAATTAGTATCTATGTTACTAAATTACAAGTAAGGTAAGGACTCATTAACAGTCAAAAAGCATGTGCTACTTATGGAGGACGAGGATGTTGTACTATTATGAATACTACATTATTTTCCCATTAGGCAAAAGTAGTATCTGTGCACACTGTCATTATATGAGAAAGATTATGCTTATGCTGTCAATCTGAATTCATACATGCATTAACATCTCCCGGCAGTTAAATCGAACTGTTCTATTTCCGCTGATTACTAAGATTAAGTCAAGTCAAGACGGGTGTTATCTAAGCTTTAAAGTTACAAGGAAACTCAATTTAACTCTCCCTAGTATGGAATTGCGGACATTGATTAACGCAAAGAAAATATCTATGGACCGAATTAACTAAAAGTTAGATGGCCTAATCAGGGAAGAGTTAGTAAATAGGGAATGTGGCATTTCTTTAACTTTGTTAATTTACAGATAGATGAAGTTCCTTATTCCATTACGACTCACTGCATTGAGATTGAATTAACATCTGCAAACACATGTCTTATTCGATTATAATAACTCACATCTAGAACATAGCCATACAGGACTTCCTCTTCATATTGCTTATCTACCATGACAAATGTAGAGAGAGTTACAATATCTGATATATTCCAGTTATTGGAATCAAATTGGCCAATCAAGAATTTCCTCCAGTTCATTTACCAATAAATATCTTGATTTATGGGAACCAGGTCAGCACATTTGTTATTCTAGTGTCTGCAGTGAAATGACTTGTTGAGTTTAATGGCTTTAGGGTAGAGGGAGAGGATGAATGAATTATAAAGGGGGACCTGATTTACGACTGTTTCCAAAATACATGTATATTTCCTATGAAAAACTACCCTGCATGCAGAGTCCAGTAATAAAAGTGACCCTCTGCATAGTATAGACTATAGACTATATTACAGTTAGTAGCCCTGCCCCCACGACCCATGCCCGTGATAATCCGGGTCATTAATCATTTCAAACCTACCAACCTGATCATTTCTCAACCAATCAGCAAGCTGGAAGAAACACATGCCAAATGCATGCTTATTGAATATGCGATAACGTTAGAGGAAATTACCATATATAGAAAGTTGTCCGTATTTCGACAACAAACTCTGAACTCTGTGAGTTCAGAGATTTATCGTAAACTGACAGAGTGAAAACGAAGCTCTCTTTTAAGAATCGCAGTCGAACTTGTTTTTCAGGTATTATGTACATTGTATAGATTTTCTATCCTTTGATAGGCACACTCCTAAGTTGTTCGATTTAGAGGCTTGTGTTGTAAATAATTTAGTGAGAACAAACTAAATCTTATAAAAAAATATGGCAAGTTTAAAAAGGGATTTTATTTTTTAACATTCATCGCTTCTGTTTAAGTATTCCGATTCAGAGATGAAAGTATTATCTTGTCTGTAGCTGATTCATATATTACACAAGGTACCAGACATACTGCTCTGTAATGCAATAAATCTAGAGCTTGGAGTTTGTTCAAGGAAGCCTTGTTGTAAATAATATCACTATAATCATAGTGAGGATAAAATATGCAAGTAGAATAAATTGTTTCAAGACAGTACTTTTAGAGGTTCCATTGCGGATTTCTGTTTCTGATTTCGGTCAACTGGTGGTCATTGGAGTTTAACATTTCATGGCTCAATGAATCTACCAAGATATCTGGAGTTGAAATCTTTATTCAACCAGAAAGAATAACAACATAGCCAGGTGCATCCCAGTCTGGATTCAGCAGCAAGATCCATATTCCGAGCATGTCTTGAAAGCTACATCTCTGAGCCACAAATTGCAGTTATAAAGAAAATCTAAGGAAACGTTCCTGCATAAAAAAAATTATCTATAGTTTTGCAAAATTGAGAGTCGTGGGTGATGAAAATGTTATTAAAAATACTCTTGGACCATTTTTGCATTACCCTGTATTATCAAACGTGAACAAATATATGTGTTTGGCATGTGCAGGTTATGATCTGGTAATATCCACGGATCAAGTCAAGACTACTCACAACATGTTCATAACAAAACGAAATGTTTTAACAATAGTTTCTATCTTTTCTAAGCACCAGACGCAAAACCATCAATTCTTATTGATATCAAATAAAGTAACAGTCAGGTAGACGTCTAGCCACATGATTTCACAAAAGAACTATCCATTTTTTATCGATATAAAATAAAGTAAGTCAGGTTGATGCCTAGCCACATGATTTCACAAAAGAACCATCCAATTTTTATCGATATAAAATAAAGTAAGTCAGGTTGATGCCTTGCCACATGATTTCACAAAAGAGCCATCCAATCTTTATCGATATAAAATATAAGTAAGTCAGGTTGATGCCTTGCCACATGATTTCAAAAAAGAGCCATCCAATCTTTATCGATATAAAATAAAGTAAGTCAGGTTGATGCCTTGCCACATGATTTCACAAAAGAACCATCCAATTTTTATCGATATAAAATAAAGTCAGGTTGATGCCTTGCCACATGATTTCAAAAAAGAACCATCCAATTTTTATCAATATAATATAAAGTCAGGTTGATGCTTTGCCACATGATTTCAAAAAAGAACCATCCAATCTTTATCGATACAAAATAAAGTCAGGTTGATGCCTTGCCACATGATTTCACGAAAGAACCGTGGATCTTTGCAACACTCAAGCCTGCTTGGACAACCAGCCTCTTGATACATGACGCAGGAAACAAAGCTACTTAATTAGAAAGGAAATCAATAAAATCATAAATCGTAATATAATACAATGTAAAAATTGTGATCACCTTGTCGGGTTAAAGTCCAATAGACTAGATGCAAGTAGAAATGATTAAATTCATCAAAATAAATTCAATTACATCCACCTTAAATATGGTATTAATAATCATTTATCTAAATATTATTGAAATTTTAATATTCTATATGACCATTATGATGTACAGTAATGCAAAATATCATAGGACTTCATTTTCTTCAATAAATATAATTTATGACATTGTTCGATGAATTATGATATTAATTCCCATCGAAAATATTATTATTATCTGCTCAGTTATTAAGTTTTTTCAGTTTACCGATGGGAATATCACTTTTATTTCATATCTGATTCATTGCAATTGTACAGTGTTTTTCATAAAACTTCCAACCATCAACTTTAAATCTTAGATTGGATTTACTCCCATATGTTAAATATTATGTGAAACCTTTTTCAATTGAGGACTTATTGAGAGGGATAGGTACTATGAAACAGCCTTTAATACATGTATTTTTTTATCATGTACTAATACTTATTTCGCAGACAAATAATCGATATTCAAAATGATATACATGTATCGTGGTATCGTGGAAGCAAACCCATAATGGTGATCAGTACAAATGAATTAGAAAGAAAGATTTATATACAAAATGCACTATAATTTTTTCAACTCATTGTCAGTAATGGATATTAGCACTCATTTGGTTTCTGAAATGAATGTAAAGTGTAAGAGTACATTTATTAGAAAATATAAAGGAATCACTGAAAATGTGAGATGTTTTAGACATTAGAGATAATGGGGTATCTGCTATGACCATTCTGTATTAAAGGACACGCAGAAAAGGCATAAGTACCCATTACCTATGATGGTTAAAGCCAACACAAAATCAGTAATTACATTTTTATGTATTATTCGATGGACATGGAGTCTTCAAATTAATGAATATTCCAGCAAATAGTCAGCCTGACAGGAACTAGATTGCCAAACTAAATAAAAAGTGATGAGTTAGACTTTTGAATAATTAATATTAATTTTGATGATAGTTTGTAGGATTAGTTACATAATTGTTTTGAGGCACTAGGTTCATATCTCATTGAGAACTTTTTTTATTAATTTTTTCTTATTTATTTAAGTTTATTATCTTTATGTCTCAAATATGATTAACATGATATCTAACAAGTTCAAAATTAAAAGAATAATTGCATGTTAATGTAACTTTTCTTCCGGAATATCCTACTATATCGGTTCCTATCTATCAGGTACAGTGAAACCTGCAAAGCTGAACACCTATACAAGTAGAAAACCTCTGTTAGCGTAACACTTTTCAGAGTTCCAAGACCAACTGGCTTACTTACCTTTCCAAAACTGCCCTTCCCAATGGCTCTGAGTATTTGAAAGTGGTCGAAGTTTACTGAAAAAAAAGAATTCATGTTTAACAATATTCTTATAGACAGGCATGAGCTTTTACAGTAATCACCATGGAACTTTATCAGTCAGCACTATTGATGATAACAGATCACTTACTGCTATACTGGATATGGGAAATTGAGTATGCTACTTATTTGAGGAAGGGTTTGCTCTAGAGTACTTCACTGATTTGAATAATAATTTTGAATGAATATCTATTCATCCTAGTTTTCAAAGAACAAAATTTCAGTCAAGTTGGGGTATAGTCAGGCTCTGAAAATAGGTGAGACAAATACTAATAAGGGAGGCCTATTAAAATAGGCGAGGCAAATTAAAATAGATAAGGCCAATTAAAATAAGCAAGATAAATCTCAATAGGTGAAGCCTAACAAGTGAGGCCTATTGGCCTTTTGAAATAGGTGAGGCTGATCAAAATAGATGAGGCCAATTAAAAGTGAATAGGGGCTATCAATAGATGTCATTTTCAGTTTCAGTTTTACATTCTCTGAATATTTCTTTTTCAGTAAAATACTTTATATGTTGAGGCATTTACCTCACCAATCTCATGCTTGGTGATGCCCATTCCATTAAAAAAAATGAATCAACCTTGGTATTTCATGACTATAAATTGTATAATATGCTGGCCGTAGAAGCTCATGCAGTATGTACATGTAATGACCTAATTATATAAACCAGCATTCGCCCACATACTACCAGAAATTCCTAGTATAATATCAGATTTTTGGGCATCATCCAGCAAATATATACTGGTGTAAGGTGTTGATGCTGATGTTTATTGCTGTTTATTACATGTACTACTTTAACATGACTTCAATGAATTAATGATACAGGTGTAGTTATAATGCAGAATCAGAATATCTATAGGGGTTGACAAAATTGCTAGCAAAAAATTGGGATTCATGTTACACTGCACGAAAATAAAGTATTTCCCCGGGAGTGATGGAACCATTCTGGACTCGGTTCTTGGTGATCAGACGGTCCCAGTAGAACCGTGGGGCCCAAAACCGCGGTTGATCAACCGAACCGTGATCGACCCTTCTCTAATATAAATGGTATCTGTATTTATAGACAAATAATACATTTTTGTAAAATCTTTTGGTTTCCTGAATGATATGATATAATGCTATGACAAGGAATGATATGAGCTAAAAATATTCTAAAATTGAAACAATTTTTGTTAAGCTTGCTCACAAGATCTGATTCTCTCTTTAATGACAGTAAGTGAAAATAAAGGCACATGAGAAGTAACATGGAGAAGTAATATATGACGGGTAAAACCTTTGAGCAACATCAAAAGAATAAGATAAGAACATTGACCCTGACACAAAACTTTTTTTTTATGTAGTAGGATTTATAACATGAACACAACATTCTTAAATAAATCCAATGAGCAATATAAATTACAAGTGTAAGAACATTGCATACTAGTTTGCAATTAATCTAAGGCTTCATTGTCTTCTACAGTAAACTGAATCTGATCTACATACATCATTCCTGTTTGCCGAGCAGCTTACGACTCTACCATTTGTCATCCAAATGTCGAATGAGAATTACCGTGTAATGAGAAAATAGAAGAAACGATTTGTGGTCAACAGTATTCTCAGAGGGGTAATACCTTATAAGAACAAAAGTCTTGGGTCTGATAACATGTAAATGAATGAAATGATCCGATACTTCATATACATGGAACATTTATATGTTGCGGATTAACAAATATTTCATGGACAAAGAATCAATATGAAGCCCCGCATCAAGTATGATATGGCAATCATTACTATTTCTCGATTGGAAAGCTAATACTCAGACTCGAGATCAATAATCCCTACACCCAAATAATATCTTTAGTTATATTTATTGTGAATACATCATACTATTATCCTCTCCATGTATATTTATATTTAACTATCATATTTTGAAACAGGGTTACATTGTAATTAATCTACCTGAGCTTATATATACCTGTAGTTTTATAGAGACTTTCTTTTGATATGATATAGGATGAAATAATGTGATTTTGATACAAGGGACTTAATGACAACAAGTAAATATTTTTATGCAAGGTTCTTCCTTGCATAAGTATGATATCTTTTAGTTTCATCTTAAAGAGATCAAACAACTGAAATCACATATCTTAGCATATACACAACAAGTACTATATATTCTGCTAGTGGTTTGTCACACTCGCAATGATTGTGACTCTACACTTATTTTCTTATTCGTAACCTTATCTGCCAGTAAAGAAGGAAACAGCCAATATTTCACAGTCTTAACATTTGTATACGATGAGGTTCAATGCAATTAATTGTTGATTTCAAGATTTTTCTGTTATCTGTATGATAACAGCAAATAATAGTTCTGATATAAAGATCTGTTTCTTGCTAATTTCCTAAATTCTAAATTATCAGAGGCATTTGCATATGATTTTAACAATAAAAATGATCAAACATATTTTCATATATCAATATCAATTGTTAGATATCGTGCTCTGTTGAAGTAAGATTCTACTTATATACTAGTATAAGCTGATTAGGTCTATTACATTTAATCACAATGCTTGAATATAATGATTAAATATCCGGTAATTGTAGCAAATTATGTAACATGATAGAAAAATATAAGCTGATTAATAACTTGATTGTTATCATGGGATGAACTCAATATCATACAATTTCTTGTAATAATTATCGACACATAGATCAAATATCATAACTCATTCCATTCTGCTCAATCCCTTTGATATTGATGTCAGGTTATTCACTTCATTCAATCATGTTCAACTTGATATTTGATGTCAACTAGAAAAACAGCAACTCGACAGAGTACCAAATGAAAAACTGGGCAGTTCGGGTTAAAAGATTACATTTTTGCTAAAAATGGAGATTATTTTGAATCGAGTATCATACTGAAAATTTCTGCTGAAGCAGAGGTCCTATATCCTTTCAAAATCTTAACAAAATCGAACTGTCTGAGAGAGAGAGAGAGACAATAATCTCTCTTGAACAATGAACTTGTTTGTGATTCTGTTAACCATACATATAATCCTCTACCCATGTCATCTTTGCAAGTAAAGCGTTTGGAATTAAATACACTCTTGAAATGGAACATTATACATAGAATATCAGATCATTTTGAGTGATATCATTTTTATCAATGAGTTGATATTAAATATCAACACATAGGTGAATGAAATATCACTAGCTGTTATTATACAAATAACATATTAATCATGGGATAATAAAATATATATTCAAACTATGTACCACAGAAATAACATAAGTAGTTTAAACTGTTATCGGGTGAAAACAATAAGTAGGGCTCGAGATGTGACATCCTACGATCATCGAACCAACCTGGGATTTGTTATTTTTACAATAGGAAATAGACATATACAACTTATATATATTAAATTATGTATATGGAAAAGTCCCTAAAAACAACAGGCACATTTGTGAAAACAAACAGTGAAAATCGCCTGTTGCCTGCTGCCTATGAAACCCCTAAATTATAACTTACAACCAAGGAGTTATGCAAAGGCTTCTTATTGAAGAAATGTCTTTTGCAATCCAATATGGTGACGAGGTGTGCCTTTACGCATATATTTCACAACAGGAAGACTGGTAGAAATAGGTATGACATATTTCCAATTATAAGAGATAACAGAACAATGGGAGATACATATATGAGTTGCCATTTCCATTATTGTTTAATAATTTCAGAATACAGTGAAGACTAGACATGAGTACACCTTAGAATTGCAAATGAGAGAAAGTTGTTTTGTTGCAGCTGCCTTAATTCTTGCAATTCAACATGGCAAGTCAAAATATTTTTTTTGACGGATTAACACAGTTGAAATTGTTTTCATTAACATCTGCTTGGAATAGTTTGTACCATGAATCTAACACTGTTGAATTTTTTTCAATTATTTCTGACTAAAATTTTGATTATTAATAGAATTCTTTAGTGTTAGATATGACCAATTAATGCAGTTTGATTATGTTCTGGGATGAGACCAAATGGCCTTGACATATTCAAAAATATTCACAAATATATATACCATATTTAAGCAGATATCTGACAAATAAACATATTTTTATCAATAAAATCCAGGTTTTAATCATTCTATTTGTGACATCCACTCAAAACCGATTCACTTAATTTCAAATTAGGCTTTGGATTTGATTATACAGCGTGGTCCAAAAAATCATTCACACTTTTGATAATGTACCATTTTCTATTGATAAGAAAATTTCACAATTTTTTTAATAGAACTGTCTTTCAAACATTAAAGTTTTGTGTGGTGTAAGTCTTTTCTCATACAATTATTTGGTGAGCACAGCTCAATAGTTTGTGATGTCCTTGATTTAAGCTACTTGATGCATAATCACTGTGGATGTTCATTGAAGTTGGTAAACCCTGTCCAACATGAAATTCTTCTGACCTCTGTTTTACATGTAATGTTACTTTACTCCATAAGTTATGGAGCGCTTCATTCAACTTATGAGACAAAAATTCATTTTAGGCGAAAGTGAGAAGTTGAAATTAATACTGTAAGCTATCAGTAAGATGGAGCAACTCCAATACTTCACTCGAATATGCAATTGTTACTTTCTCTGGAGACACATTTCTCCAATCGTATGAACTGTACCTCACATGGCCCGCATATTCTCTTCACCACACGTAACTTAAAAATATGAAATTTTCCTATTAATAGAAAATTGTTATCAAAAGTGTGAATGATTTTTTGGATCACCCTGTAAATGCTTCTTTATAATCTTAAAACTCATGTTTGAATGGACTGGAACAGCCATCTAGAAACTGAAATTGATATGTCAAGACAACTTGACCCTTGAAAAAAGTTTGCTTGAAAATATTTTCTTTAACTGATTTTGCATCTTTAGTGATATAATACAAAATATTTTGCATTGGATAAAAAGAATTTATTAGTCTAAGACTCCATGGATTGCAACCGATTCGTTCCACTCAGGCCTTGTTTTCCAAACTTAGCACTCATGCTACACATTCATGCAAAGTTTGAAACAATATCTTTGTGGAATGATAATCAGTGCACTGAGTTCAGGGGTTAAGTGTTTACTTTAATCCTCAGTCTAAACATGACTTTTAAAAGATCAATAGCTTACTTTGAATAGACCATCATACATTTCAGAAAAAAGAATAATCATCACTGCTCCACAGCTGGACGACGTTAGTATCATTCAAGATGGTTACAAAATTCTTTCATTTCCAAAAATCCTCCGATTTCATTTAACAAAGTTGAATCTGGATTCCAAATATTTCGCCATGGAAACTAACAAAGTTATATTTAAACAGACAAGATATCATAGGCTTTCAACATAACGATATTTAGATCTACTTTAGACTGCTTTTACTGTACAGCCAGGCTATGGAGTAGATAAAAACCTGATGGCATACACATCAGTTTATCTTCATACATGTATGTAAGTAGGCTGAATGATTAATTATGAGCATTTGAATATTTTCAGAAATTTAGCTTTTTGACTTTCGCGGTTTATGCTGTCAAAACTATACAGCTAAAAGATAAGGAAATCACAAGAGAAATATACTCACCCTCTCCATTTGCATCAAAAGATGCTTTACTTTGAGAGTGGTTTGTCCCCATTGTGCACCCAATTTTGTCAGTATTTTAGGGTCCCGGGCTTGGTCCAAAATATTATTTGGACCTTTCCCCAGTTTGTGTTTGAAACTGTTTTGTTTTTAGGCAAGACAGATAAGGGTCCAGTCTACTCTGTGCAGTCCACTGCTGTGTTTGTAACTTCTAGAGCATCCTAATGATAGAATCAATATCCGTAAAGAACATCATAAATTGCATGTTTTGCATATATCTGCAGATGAATTGAATGAAGAACAAAATTCGCAAAATTCGCCAGATCTGTTTTTGTACTGAATCGTGTAATTATGCGAACGACCGAAAGTTTAAACGCAATTGCGTTCGGAATTTTTACGAACGTTTAAAGATTCTCTGAACTGAAGGAAGCGTTGGCCTAGATCATTTAAGCAGATCGTTAACAAATGATGTGGACAATTGCAGCCTTTGAGGGAATGGTTTCTTTACTGGCCCACCTTGGTAGGGGGAGGGGGGAGGGAGCTACCGGGCCGTAAATCATTCATCAAGGATCACTCTCGGTGATCACAGAAGTACAGTATGTAGGACCTGAGACCATATGTTAGTCTCAGCATGGGCTCTACCATCTGATAGAGCCCATGGTCTCAGGCAGGACGACTTACTCAGGGATCACTGTTATATAAATATCCAATTTCACTGTTTGGGGAATTATGGAAATAGATTTTAAAAAGATGCAGAAAGTAGAATTCGTGTATGCTGAGAGACCGAATACGAGACGAGTCAACTTTATAGGCTACCCCCCCCCCCCCTCTCCCCCACCCCCAGCGCAAACCATCGCTTCGGACCTTAAAATCAGTGCTCCAGCTCGTACTTTTATCAAATCTACAATCTGAAATGAAGTACACAGACTTGGAAAACTCATTTAGACCTTGTGAACAGCTACAAATAGTATAAGCCAAGCAAATAGGTGATTTTGCAGGTCGACAACTTGTTATGATAATAGGGAGTTTAAGCATGCACTGTTTTTCACAACCTAAACGCGAACGTAAGGCATTTAAGCGATGTATTTGAATGGGCGATTGGTAATACATATAGGTTGGCGTTTCGATTTTATATGCAAGCTTAAACTCCCTATTGTTCAAATGCCGGGATTTGGTACATGACTTGATGAATTGCTGTGGATGATTAAATGCACATACGTTGGCGCTAGTGTTTAACTCGGGCTCTCCTCCTCGGTTTAATCCACACTACCCTACCACGTGACCACATTTAAAAATGATACAGGGTACGGTTAAGTTGCAAATGGAGCGAGTATTCTCTATCTTTGTCCATTGGGCTTTTCTGGTAATAATACGTTGCAAACTGCTCGATGAATCTATACAATGTATAGTAGAACACTAAGAATATGTGTAAAATCTAGTATACATTCAGAACTATGGAAATAAACAAACGTCCTCCATTTGCAACTTCCCTGTAGCCTGTACTTCTTTTAGAGGAATACAGGATACAGTATGGGGGTATAGTAGTGTGTAATCACACAAAAGAGCCTTGTACTTAAAATCATCCACAAATCATTGCACTTTAATTTGGGTTTACTACCGTGTCTTTGCATATAATTAAAATTGCAATTACACGGATTCCATAAAACCACGAACTCCAAATTGCATGTTTCATGCGAAAAATTGCTTCATGTGTGATGTAGTTTGCTATATTTTGCCATTTGTGGTGACATATTGTTATCTCAAACTTTTTTGTGAACCTGGCGGATGGCGTCTGTAAAAAATAGCAGGTGGTGACATTTTGCATGTTAATGTCTTTTTAATTATTGTGAATAACCCAAGTTACATCGTAAATCTGTAAAACCACTTTCACCATTCTATAATATGACGTTATGTTTGATTTCTTTCCCATTGAGGTATTAAATATGACAATAAAACGTTCCAATGGTGGGTTATATGATGGTGTGTGTTTGAAATTTTAAATCATCATAGCCTAATCATGTACACTCGTAACATCGAGTTAAAAACATCGTTTTAAAAAACATGACACTACATGTAGCAAGGGTCACAAAGAAAAAACAATAAGCGTATATGTATGCAGTGTACTACCTCTTAGTTGTTTTACACCTTTACCCCAGTCTGTTTGACGATATATCAATAGATAATTAATTCTGAATAAAGATCTATCTTTTTGATTTATGTTCAACAAAGATACATGTAATCCACAGTTCTATCATCTTTAAATGACAAATTGCAAATTTCTCATTGACTTAATGAATTGAGGATTAAATGTTAACACTTATTGAAAGTGCAGCATTATCATTAAACTCGTTATTTTTTGCTTATGACTCGATTATGACTCGATTATCTTCTCATCTCACTTTGATGAAATGTAGCTTCATTAAAAATTACAAGTGAGGTAAAATATATTGGAAACCCGATACCCTCTCCTCTTATGGGACTTCTAAGATCTTTTTGATGGATTGGTAATGAAGACAGTGTTAATGACAGTTTAACATTACAAATATGATTTCTATCCTTTGGTGGCCCTTGAAATTAAAAGGGGGATGTTAGACCCCAATTTTGAAATTCCTGAATTAGGCCCAAAATTGTCAGTTTGTAATAAATTGCCCAGTTGATGTGGGGGGCAGATTTGGGGCCCAGTTTTTTCGGGGTCCGCTCTAATGCAACGCATAAGTTACTTATATACCATCGACTACTGACATATATTAAGTATTAACACATTACACGATGCTTCAAATCAAAAACAATTATATATTAATCGTTTTGAATAAGAAATTTGACGTTCGTAATTTTGAAGTAATAAACCTCAACTATAAAACGGATCCACTGTTTTGTTGTAATTAATGAAAGATTTCTTTTGTCTTCTACAGTGTCGTTTGATTATTTATTGATTAACTATAAACTGCAAGAATAATTGGAAATACATATCTTGCATACCTGAAATATTGATAATAATTTATTTGTCGTTATAGTAACTTGTTGATGGCAGCCATATTGGAATTTAAATTTTTTCAAAAAATCAAAAATATTATTACTCTGCAGCAAAACAATGCTTAAGCTGAATAAGACAAACGTCCAACATACCTTAGATACTATGTCATAGGGTTCTCATCAATAACTGAATTTCAACAATGATGAATCAAAGTGAACACAGTGGAGAATCATTTCCACAAAATTCTGCAAGCGAAAATCAAAATGTCAAGAACACCGGTGGGACAATGTCAGCTCAGTCACCCACAAATAATCTAAGGAGTAAACAAAATGAACGTATTCTAAGGTTAATTCAAGAGGCAAAACAAAACTTCTCCACCATATTAGATTTGAGTAAAATGGGACTTCGCAAACTGCCCTCTGAAGTCTTGGAGTTGACAAATTTGCAGGTAGGCCTACATGTTGCGATCTTATTAAAAAATATATCTTACAATGACTTACAATGATGCATCAGCGTAATGGTTAGAAATCACCTCTGATTTAAACGATCTTTGATTTTCAATACTATGGGGTGCCTAACCAAAGCAGTTTGGCCCAGTGTTCTACTCCTGACGTCATAGACTGGGCCAAAGTAGGTCCAATGCAAAAAAGGGTGGATTTACTTCGGAAAAAACACACTGGTTATAAACTTATAATACGTGCTGATAAATGAATAAACATCATAAAAAACACTTACGTGTTTGTTCCTTGTATCAAATTTTGTATTTATATTAGGTTTCCATCGCTGGATGACGGCTAATAAATAAGAACGAAACGATTAAACGCAGCAAAAACAAAAATTCTTCTGCAATCTGTTCGTGATCTCGTAGAATATTGAGAAGTCTTGGCTGCATATTTCGTTCAGTACTACATTCGGTCAGTTCACCAAATTGAAAAATCATATGTAATGTCCACCATATTTCTTTCAAGTCTAAATACAACACAGATACGTCTGATTTATAAAGTAATCTACATTTTGATAACAAATCTGCTGAAGAAATCGTAATCTTTGGAATGTATTGATTATCAGGAAATGTATTTTCGTTCCATGAAAGTTAAACAATTATCGCGTCACACTTGTGTTACATCATCACATCACATGACTTTATTCGGTGCGGAGAACTGACGAAAATATTGACGAAATGTTGTGCCCATTGCAACATCAATATAACAAACAAAACACCACACTTACGTGTAAGTTATATACTCTTGATTTCAAATAAATACTTGGGTTTACATAGAGCCCGATGTTTTGGTTGGGTGGCTAATAAGGAATGAATAATTTTTGCATTGGACCTCGTCTGGCCCAGATCTACGACATCGTGAGTGGATAACTGGGCCAGACAGGTTGGGTTATGGTTTGCCCTGCCCCGGCTCTGATATTCAAAATTAAAAACTTTTTGAATCTTAGTCTTAACTTTGGATTTGCAGATAAGTCTCATTCTATTTTTATAGACTAATGTTAACTTGTAATTGCATCATTTTTGATATTGATATATGAATCAAAAAAGTATTTTGGGATCACTGTTCCCTAGTAGTTATGAAAAGTTATGATTTTTCTTCATAGCACTTATCCGAACACCTCCCAATATATTATCTACCATTAACTTACCTGTTCATAAAACCTTGAAATGTAAACACCTGCAAATCCGAACACTTTTGGTCTGTCCCAGAGACGTTCAGATTAGACAGGGTTTACTCCAATTACTGCATCGCCAATCTTATGTTTTCTATTTCAGTATTTGTACCTAGAAGGAAATGAACTGACTTGTCTTCCTGAGAATTTTTTTGATGCCCTGCCGAAACTACAGTGGTTGGATTTACGGCGTAACTATATCATTGCCATCCCAAGCGTGTTCCTAAGTCGCCATGAAAATTTAAGGAACATCCTGCTAGAAAACAATGAACTTAGAACACTTCCTTTAGAGTTAGGTATGTCTTCACTATTTTCACCATATCTTTTTCATTCTATTAAAGGATCTACTCCATGATATTTGCCACATTTGTACATCATTCAATTTCCTACAGGTCTACTATATTTCATGACCATCAGACTGATAGTCACAATGTTACCACACTTTCAACAATATGCTCCAGTAGCCACTATTGCGCTGTAGGCAAACCTGTACACATCGTCCAAATTGCAGTACTGTCAACCCCCAAAGATTTTCTCGCGGGACAGATTTTTAAGACCCTGTGCCAAAAATTCGCGGGATTTTGCGGGACATCCACCTAAATTCGCGGGATTTCGCGGGACATTTAAGGGATTTGCGTGATTGCGCTAAAAGGTCAAATTTTGATCAAATTCGCGGGATTTCGCGGGACCATTCGAGGGACAAACACGTTACTTGCGGGACAGTTAACAGGTTAACCACCAATTGCAAAGACTTCATAGAGGGATAATTTTTTTAGACAAAGTGCCTTAAATTCGCGGGATTTTGCGGGACATCCACCTTTTGCGGGATGTCGCAGGACATTCAAGGGATTTTTTATGTAAAAGTACTCTTGAATCAAACTTTCAGATACTGATTTATCAAATATAATGCACTTAACTCAAGTAAACGTCAACACGATTCCACACAATACGCATAGAACTATTATTAAACTATCAAAAAAACACGCTTTAGGTGTGAGTACCGTAATCCGACACGAAATTCAAAAACTTATTCTTGCACTTATGGCGTTCGTGACCAACTATGAAACATTTACCCCCATAGTGTTATATATCAAAATGTACCTATTCATATAGGGGTTCGATTATTCTACATCAAATTATAGGGAGTCAGGTTTCTTTTCGAGATATCAGTGTCCATTTATTGGAACTCGCGTTTGCTAACATTTGTTCAGTTCTGAGATGAAGGCTGTGACACGCGTAGTAAAAAGGCCAACGTTGGAACTAATCGTGACATACATCCCTATTTCCGTAATTAAAATGAAATTTGCACTCTTCCTCTTTATTTTGATACCAAACGGCATGCTAGAAGCCAACTATGGTGTTATTTGGATCAAAATCATAGTTTTACAAGTTAAGTGTACTATGCTCTTTCCAAAAACAGTCTCCGATGATCTGATGCACTGGGAGTTCGGCAGCACTTTTCAAATTAAGTAAGCTTGACTCCTCAAAAGTGCAAAAAGCTTAGCTTCTTATATCACAAGATAATCACAATTATTTAGCCTCGGGGATTGTTACAAATTTGAAAATTCGCGGAGGTCAAAGCCGTCATTTGCGGGAATTCGCGGGACATTGCGGGACACGCGAATAAGCCAAATTTTGGTCAAATTCGCGGGATAATCCCGCCATTCGCGGGACACTTGACAGCTCTGAAATTGTCTGTACCTGACTTCAACCTGTGGGGATGTGCAGAAATAGAGTGCACAAGAATGACCTCAGGACAATTGCAGACCTCTAAAGGGAGATCATCTGTGTCTTTCAGGCCATACCTGCCAAGGAATACAGTTGGATCATTGACAACTTGTGCAAGCTTGCCCACAGCGTGACAATGGCCACACCTGTGGCGTGTTTTCAAAGTGCTGTAACATTGCAACTTTCAGTCTGATGGTCATGAAATATAGTAGCCTGGTAGGAAATTGAATGATGTACAAATGTGCCAAATAACAGCATGTAATTCTGAAAAAGAAAGATATGAGGAAAATACAGGGTTGCCATTTTTTTTGAAAAAAAGGATTAGAATTGGCATGAATTAAATGTATCCTATTCATAACATACATGTACAACTATTTTTTATTTTTTCAGGTCTTGTTAAGAATCTCAGTGGACTCAACATAAACAATAACCCATTAGAATTCCCTCCTCCTGATGTCCTTGAGAGAGGAACCCAAGATCTTCTGAAATATCTGCGTGATACTCTACATGCAAAATCACAAGGGAAATTACCTATAAATACAGGTAATCTTTTTATTTAATTTCCTATTTCCGAGAATGAGCAATTATATTAGAGTTACATACTTTCAAGCTCATGACTAAAGTTACAATACTATTTTTGTCGTTTTCTTTACTATAGTATGCTTTTACATTCATTAGTACAGGTAATATGTAAAACAATTGAACTCTTCAATTTATTGCACACATGTGCTTTAATCTGTTGCTCCCCAAAGGCTTCTGTGAGGAGAATTTGTGAAGAGCTGAATTTTCCAAGATTTGACTCTACTAGTCTATTACTGTTAAGAATTTAAAGTTTACAAAATAAATTCGAAAATCTAACAAGTTACTGTGTATATTACTTTTCCAGATTTGAGAATTCATGAGTTGAGAATAAGTGAGGAAGGCGACTCACATTCATATATGGAAAATGTCAAAGATCAGAATGGTATAGGTGGCGCTGAAGAATGGGAACAACAGAATCCTGAGATGGACGATTTATCGAAGCTGAAATCAAGTCATCGTAGAGCTTCCCTTGAATCTGATGGCTCACTTTCCTCATATGATTCCCAAAGTATGCTCAGCCATGCTAGAGATATCTCAAGTGCTAAATATTATAATGACTTGAATCCAATGACTTCAACAAGATTTAACACAGAAAGACATGACCTAGGTGGTCCAGGGACATTGAAGTTATCATTGAATAAACCTACAAACTATGATGACATACGGAAAAAGCAATATGAAAAAATCAAAAAAGCTGGTGCTTTAGGAGTATTAGAAAATTCAATGGATAGGTAGGTTCATTGTTAATCATTAAACTGTTTTGTGTTGGACATTGTACAGGGTGACCCAAAAAATGCAACCCTCCATTCAATATTTTTCTTAAATGGAGGTAAATTGCTCTGAGATTTGGCACACAAGGACTTCATTCAATGTGAGATCATTTGGCAAAGTTTTAATAATCATGGTCTTATATTGATAAAGTTATGGTTGTTTCAAAATATGCTCCAGATGTCGTCAATTTCACTGAAAACAAACTTGCAATGTTCAAGGAAAACTGTTCATAACACGGATGCATTCTTCCCCATGGGTATGGCTCAAATTTTTGCAGCCATTGCTTGTTGGAGTTCCGCAATTGCAGTAGGGTTATTTTCATACACATTATCCTTTAAATAACCCCATATATAGAAGTCAGGGGCATTGAGATCAAGACTGTGGGATGACCATGGGTTCTCCGTCCTAGGAGAGATAATCTTCTCATAGAAATGACTAGTGAGCCAGGCTATGCTATCATAAGAAGTGTGAGGAGTAGCTCCATCCTTCTAGAACCACTGTTCTTGTCTATTGAAGCCTCTATGTTAATTTAGAACTGCCTAGAACTTCCTTGGAACGCCAATATTGCGCTGTGTGTTAACAGTAACAGTGTTGCCATTATCAACCTCAAACCAAAAGGGGCTGATGATTTCATGTTTGGAAATTGGCAGCACAAGCTGTGCATTTAACAGAATGAAGGGGCCTTTGAAGCACTTCATCTGGAATTTGTGATCCAAGAACACATTATTGCTTGAGTTTACATGTTCAGAAAGAAGGGAATGTGATTCATCCGAAAACCTAACATTGGAAATGGACGACATTTGGAGCATATTTTGGAACGACCATAACTCTATCAATATAAGACTATGATTATTGAAACTTTGCCAGAGGATCCCACGTTGAATGAAGTCTTTTTGTGCCAAATTTCAGAGCAATTAACTTCCATTTAAGAAATACATTGAAGAAATGGAGAGTTGCATTTTTTGGGGTCACCCTGTATCTGTATTCACTCTTCACTGGTCAGTATCAAGCAAAGTAAAGATAATGGCAGTAACTTTCGCATCCAAGATGGCGGATAGTAATTTTTGTTTTCATCTCCAGAGTTCTCATGTCATATAAAGTTAGATTTAGTTCAAATATCAAAGCATAGGCTAGTTTAATTCGATAAAAACTAAAAATATCGAAATCGACACTTACAGTCCTCCATCTTAGATGCGAAGGTTACGGCTGTTACCTTCGATTGATATTGACCAGTGATATTAGTGGCCAAAAACAGTGATATTCCTAGCATTAGATCAAATGGTTGTGTTGCACCCTGTTCAAAATTGCATTCTGCTTCAAAGAAAATCTGCTAGTTCACTGTCAAGATGAAATATTGAGATATTTTGATCAAAATAAGTATTTTGAGCCTACATTTAGAAAAAACACTGAAAAATTAGGTTTTATTGTAATAAAACAACAATATGGAATATATATTAATTGAAAAGTTTTATATTTTTATTTCAAATATTTAAAACATAATCTAGGGATTATATAGCCATAATTATTTCAGAAAAAAGAAATTAAAGAAATTGCGTAAAGTCAACAAGTATCCAAAACCTCCACCTATTGAGAGGATTGAAGAGAAACTAATGGAAGAAAGACGGCAGATTCGGATGAAAGATCTGAGAGAAAAACAGAATGCAATAATACAGAGAAAAAAGTAGGTACAATCAACTATTCAGAATTCTAACTATTTAGAATTATTACAAAATGCATGTAATAATATTCGCTACCTCCCATTAACAAGGGAACATATTGATATATGGATTGGCAATAAGAGGGTAAATTATAGGGTAGCAATTATAGTATTTGAAGCATCACATTGAGTGGAAGGGGAGCAGTATCATTAGCCTGGTGTTTCATATTTGTTGAATATAGTCTGTATTCTACTCCATCTATTACACCATACAATGTTTTTCAGAGATAAAGACTTGCTGAGTGGATGGAGGGATGAAACTAAACAACAGCAGCGTAAACTACAATTTGATGCTATGAGAAAGGGCCCACCAGGTATGTGCCGAGTTGCTTGAATACTGTTTTTATGTCACCACAACAAGGAGTGACACAAGTGTTATAGTCTCCAACATCAGGGCGCAGTAACCAAACTGCATGCATACTATGCACACAGTTTGAAACACTGACAAACTGCAAACTGCGCGCATATCAACATTGCATCATACATACAAGTTGGAGTTTGTGTTTTCAAATGTCATTTTAAGACATTCATTCTGCACTTATTTATAGTTTCATACGTCCATACGGTGGCGATTATATGATCCATGTGATTTTGAAAACTATGCCCAGATTAATGTAGATTTTAAAATATGAGCAGATTGATAAAAAATTCATCGTTTTTTTCCATTTTTGACAAATAAGTTGATGTCACAATTTTCAAAGAAATAGAAAATACTTGGGTTTTGGTTCACATGTAAATTTTTACATATATTTCACGTACAATACAAAATATTTTGTTTGGCATTTGTTGCAACTGGCAGCAGTGGTTCGGTGTAACAAATGGTGTCTGTAACAATTGGCGGTGTTGACATTTAATGCCTTGTTGCAGTTTGGATGTGATACATCTATACATGTAGTTAATTACAATTTCAAAGCTTACAGTAACAAATACTAGAATGTATAATTGATTGTTGTAATGAGGAAAACTGAATAGAGATCTTACTTTTTCCCAATCTGATGTAAATGTAATTTCTAATTTGTTTCAATGTGAAATTATGTCACTGTCCATTTATGCTCCACTATTTACTTTCTGCAAAATGCAAGAATCTACAAAAAATGCACAAGCTGTACAGTGTACATCATGTACACATAAGTTAACTAAATGTATTCTGTACATATCTGTTAAATAGCATAAATGCATTTTTTAATTTTAGAGTTCCTTGAACCAGTTCGTAAAGCTCCATTTGATATTGATCAGGATCACATAAAAATTCCAACAAATGAGCAAAGAATAAAGGTAACTAATTATATATAAACTGAAGTGAATGCATTTGTCATGCAGTAAATATTATACATTTTTGTAGTTTGTAGTTAGTTTAATCTAGATTAAGTTATTTTTTGTATATTGTACATTGTACTGACTAATATGTCATTGTCAAAGAGTCAATAAATGATATACAGGGTGTCAAATAAGTCCCGTCCCCCCTGCTACAGCTAAAATCTTAACAGACGGTACCTAGTGTGATATACCATTGGAAAGATCATCCAAAGTTATGTTAACTCACCAACTCTCAAGTATTTTGGATGAAATTTACCTATATTTTTATTATGTCTTTTATAGTTAACGTGCCCTCCTTTAAGTAGCTTTTTTGTGTCAAAATGACAAGGATATGACCTCAGAAAAACGTCAAAAAGTTAATCTTTTTCGCATTCCACTTGTTACAAAAAGGTTTTCACCACTTTCCTTGCACCTCTATTTTCTATACATGTAACCCTATCCAGAAATTGGTAAAATTCATCGCCATAAACATATTTAGTCATCTTTTGGTCCCTTGACCTTTCTTATACCCGATTCTTAAAATCCTGCCAAATAAGCCAAATTGCCATGTTTCTAGGCATATGGTCACCTCAATTGATACAATGTAAAAATTTGTGAGATTGATTGACATGTGTCAGATATACGACAATCAACGTAACTTTGGAAGACCTTTCCAATGATATATCACACTTGGTACCAAATATCTTGGTTTTGGCTATAGAGGGGGGGGGGACGGGACTTATTTGACACCCTGTATATATGCCAAAATCAAAGAAAGGGGCCTGCTAGGCTAATCAGTTAATTGTGTTCTGTTGTGCATGTACTGTATATGAAGTGTCTCATTTATAACATTATAAGAATAAAATATTTGATAAAAAGAGGTTTTGCACAACCACTTCAGCTCAACATGTCTAAATTCCATAACGCATTCACCAGATTCATGCGTAGCAGTTCAAATAAAATGAGATGCAGTTGTGGATAGGATACCTTTTAGCTATAACCCATTGTGTAAAATCTCTCCAATGTTAAATACATGAATACAAGTGACCGTTCCTAGCTTGACCCTGCATGAAGTCCAACTTCCCATTTCAGGAAGAGGTCAAGGCCACACATGAGAAGATCCGAAGAGCTGCCTCTCCAAACACTATACAGAAATTAGAAATGGAAAGGTCAGTTTACTAATTCTAATACTGCACTTAGTTATTGACCCATCCAGAGGTCGACTGTTCAAATAATATCCCTACATTAATATGATGTGATATCATCCCCAAACACTATATAAACTAGCAATGCAATGCAATTCATGGACCGACTTCAGAATGTTTTTCAACTTAGGTGCTAGCAATGTACATGTATCTCGGATTTCCAACGTATGATGTGTTCATATTGAAAATCAAACTGGGAAACGAGTATGGCTAGCAATATGCAAATCACCTTGACATTTGATGCCAAATACAACTTGCAAATGTCATACCATGATCCAGGTTAAAGTGTTTGTGGAACTGGTTTTGTTGCTAGGTACTGTGTTATATAAACATTTTGATTTCATTTTGTGGTTCATTCAATACCCTTGTTTGTTGTATGCTTGCCTTAAATCTTAGCTCAAACCCCCAAAAATAATTGTATTTTAGGAGGATGCGAGATAACGAATTAAAAGAAAAATTGAAAAAGCACTCAGAAAAGATGGCAGAGAGGCGGTCATTGCCTAAAAAGAGTCCACAAGAAGAAATGCAACTGGCCCAGAGGGAATTGGAAATCGTATGTATATTCACAATTAACAACATTATCAAAGCAGTCACATTTCAAATGCAATTTACATTTGCTTATTTTTTTGACTTCATGGATTTATTTTGCTTCTTAGAAGTTTAATTATTAGATTTTAACTAGGGTAACTAAGTATTCCCTATTCTGCAGAGTAACCATTAGTAAGATTGTTTTATAGTTTATCGCATGATTTTGCCAGTATTAGTGAAATAACCAGTATTGGTATCAATATACATCTATTCAGTGTAATGAATAGATTTTAATGTTATTGGTTATTTCACTCATATTTGATATCAGCAAAAGTTGTTATATGCATTATATAGATTTTATACCATGATACTGTTACTTCCTGGTGAATAACACCATGGAATATAATCGATATTGAAAAAACCTCCTAAAAATTTGTATTTACCTAGTCATCTCATTTTGGAATCATACACACTTGGCCATCCCCTTATTGGAATCATATTCAACTGGTCATCTTTGTTTTTCATTCCTTAACATTTACTTTTTCAAAAACATTTATTTTTCAAAAAAATATTTTTTTAAAAGGATTAATTTTTCTATTACTTTTTCAAAAAGTTCTCATCATCTCAAGCTCCATTGCTTGAAAAATGTTCACTTTCTCAATTTTTCAAAAATGTTCACTTGTGCATAGTTCTTTCTGCGATATTAATTTAGATCATCACTCAGTCATTCAATATCATGGTATAAAATGCTTATTTCCTCTATTATCTGATTTATCTTGATATCATATTTATCAACTCATTGCAATCAATATCAAATTATACCATGCTTGTACTCACAATTTTACAATAAAATTAAGCTTACTCATGTGGATATTGATACCAACTTACTGATAAAAAGGATATTACTCAAAATCACATGGTATATCATACAATACTCTACAATACTTATTATATAGGTGAAGAGACTGCAGAAAGAACTAATTGGCAGATACAATAATTTACATCATTGGACCCAAGGTTTGGATTTGAATATTGTGAACAAAGATTGTGATCCTCTAATACCCTCTGCTTAACCCTGATTCATTTTTTATTTCAATTTTAACACATATGGTAACCAAAATCTGACAAAACTGACATGTTACTCGTGTGCATTAGCAGTTTATTTTAAAGGGTCCTGTTTTCGAAACACTGGTCATGATGATGAATGTTTATATGGAAGAGATCAAATCAAAGAATTGAAGCTTTGAGGGTGTTTTGCTTTTGCTGCCCAGTTTCTACCAAAATGATGTTGTGAAAATTTAATGTAATTTGTCTGAAACATGGTGGAGTGAATACTAGCTGCGAGTAGAAATAATCTTGATTTACATCATTAGATATTCAACATTTAGTTAAATGGATATGTTATTGAATTCTACAATGTAAAATTGCACCTAGAAATGTGGTTTAAAGATGTTTTTACTAACTTTGAAAATTTAATCTTCTAGGTCGGGGAGATTCCCCATAGACCCCATGTCACAAATTCATAAAAAGTGAAACATCTTTTTTTGTGTTGGGCAGATAATGTTTTCTTTCACTGGACATACTTTTGTTTGTATAACTATCAGACACATAAGGATTATATTAAAATTGATCCACTTAGACTGATAATATTCAAGTTTAAGGTAACTTTATTATATACCTGTCGTGCTAATTAACCCGAATCTGCCACCTGGTGGTGAAACTGGTAACTACCTACTCGCATCTGGGTAATTGATGAGGAGTCTTTTAGTTGTTTGAAATAGATTCATGTTTGCCTGCTTTGTTATTCTCCATTTCAATATCTTAAGTAAAGCTTTTATGGAAATTCACAAATTCGCAAATGCTTTAGAGTGGTTGCTTACACCATCCACGCAAAATTATTATGCAAAATGATTTCTAAGATAGGTTTAACAATATTGGACCCTTTATATTATATTATTATTTTATGAAACCTTAATAGTCTTAAATATAAGAAGTAGGATAATTCTTTCTTGTATAAGCATATAGTTGTCTGTCAGTTTCTCACTATTTCTATTCCTCTGTTTGTTGGATAACCAGAACTTTAGGCCATATTACTTGCATAAAGCAGTTGTATTGTATGCTTGATCAATGAATGGAAACTATAGTTACTTGTGTAAATAATCTTATCAGTTGTGTTGTATCTTGAGGGGCTATCGAAGTCAAGGCTCTTATGGGTTAGCACAAAAGGACCATATCAATGTCAATGTATAACATTCAAGTGAACTGAAATGTTCAAATCAAAATAAATAGGATTGTTGGATAACCAGAACTTTAGGCCATATTACTTGCATAAAGCAGTTGTATTGTATGCTTGATCAATGAATGGAAACTATAGTTACTTGTGTAAATAATCTTGTCAGTTGTGTTGTATCTTGAGGGGCTATCAAAGTCAAGGCTCATATGGGTTAGCACTAAAAGGACCATGTCAATGTATAACATTCAAGTGAACTGAAATGTTCAAATCAAAATAAATAGGATTGTTGGATAACCAGAACTTTAGGCCATATTACTTGCATAAAGCAGTTGTATTGTATGTTTGATCAATGAATGGAAACTATAGTTACTTGTGTAAATAATCTTGTCAGTTGTGTTGTATCTTGAGGGGCTATCAAAGTCAAGGCTCATATGGGTTAGCACTAAAAGGACCATGTCAATGTATAACATTCAAGTGAACTGAAATGTTCAAATCAAAATAAATAGGATTGTTGGATAACCAGAACTTTAGGCCATATTACTTGCATAAAGCAGTTGTATTGTATGTTTGATCAATGAATGGAAACTATAGTTACTTGTGTAAATAATCTTGTCAGTTGTGTTGTATCTTGAGGGGCTATCAAAGTCAAGGCTCATATGGGTTAGCACTAAAAGGACCATGTCAATGTATAACATTCAAGTGAACTGAAATGTTCAAATCAAAATAAATAGGATTGTTGGATAACCAGAACTTTAGGCCATATTACTTGCATAAAGCAGTTGTATTGTATGCTTGATCAATGAATGGAAACTATAGTTACTTGTGTAAATAATCTTGTCAGTTGTGTTGTATCTTGAGGGGCTATCGAAGTCAAGGCTCATATGGGTTAGCACTAAAAGGACCATATCAATGTATAACATTCAAGTGAACTGAAATGTTCAAATCAAAATAAATAGGATTGTTGGATAACCAGAACTTTAGGCCATATTACTTGCATAAAGCAGTTGTATTGTATGCTTGATCAATGAATGGAAACTATAGTTACTTGTGTAAATAATCTTGTCAGTTGTGTTGTATCTTGAGGGGCTATCGAAGTCAAGGCTCATATGGGTTAGCACTAAAAGGACCATGTCAATGTATAACATTCAAGTGAACTGAAATGTTCAAATCAAAATAAATAGGATTGTTGGATAACCAGAACTTTAGGCCATATTACTTGCATAAAGCAGTTGTATTGTATGCTTGGTCAATGAATGGAAACTATAGTTACTTGTGTAAATAATCTTGTCAGTTGTGTTGTATCTTGAGGGGCTATCGAAGTCAAGGCTCATATGGGTTAGCACTAAAAGGACCATATCAATGTCAATGTATAATATTCAAGTGAACTGAAATGTTCAAATCAAATCAAATGTTCATTGAAGGTCCATTTTTAATATCTTATGTTTTATTTTATTCAGGTGATACAAACATTTTTATTATAAGTTTATCATTCCAGGTTCTGTTGAAAGTATGATTGTTACATAGAGTGCTGGCTTCCGATGCCAATGCATTACTATTATCTCAGCTTAACACACATTCTACCTTTCTAGAATCATTGCAGGTCATTGACAGGATACATCAGGCCCATAGCCATCTTTTGCCAAGGGGGGTCACAAAATCACTGTAAAAGTGCTCAGAATTGTGAAATTCTTTGCTAGAGGGGGTCACTTGCACCCCTTGAACCCCCCCCCCCCCCCTGGCTACAGGCCTGTCTTGAAAGAGAATTTAATAGCTATCAATGTATCCTGCTGCTGACAATGCAATGAGAGTAGACCTTTCATAATTAGCTTACATCTACAGGGTGCTCACTAAATTATGACACTACATTTCCCATTTTAACACATTTCCACCAGTCTTGCAGTTGACAAGAAATGCAGTCTAGAGTGTACAGTGCATACTTTCATTTCTCAAGTATTCAAACATTTTATTATTTCAATTTATCCTGCTGTCTACTTTGGTTTCAATATCTGGTCCAACAATTTGTAGTGACATTCATAGAACATAAATAGAGGGACCAGTCATCTTCTTGGATGCACATGCTTACCTTTTCTTGCATTTTATTATGTTATTGGTCATTGAAATATTTGTTTTTGCAAGCTCTCAGATCAAACTTGTGAATGGTGGCTGTTGATGAGTTGTCTATTGAAAGAAGCTAATTTATTGATGGAAAACAGCATCAGATAATTGTAATTTATCAGAATTCAAGAAAATGTGGCATCTTTCATAGTTAATGTTATTCTTAACATTGTTTTGGTCATGTGCATTGAAAGTTGCTATACATATCCACTTTTACATATTCAATTTTACCTGAAATCTGTCAAAATGGGAGACCTTATCTTGAGTCATTCCTTATGAACACCCTGTATTGCATACCTTGTTAGCGAGCATACATTACACAATTTTGGCCATTATATAAAATTGATCCCTTTCTTAATTTCTAACCATCTTGATTTTAAAACATTGTTTATCAGACTGAGAATACAAGCCCATTAACGCTGTTGAAATGTATATGTTTATTTTATATTTCTATGTATAGTTGGTTTTTACTCAGGACAACTCGGACCCAAGACATCTCGGACCCAAGACAACTCGGACCACTTTTTGAAATTTTTGATTTTTATCATTATATTTGGTTTTAATTATTTTTTATGTTTATTTTGACATATATTATATATTGTGAATTCATATAGTATGTTAATTTGATGAAATTGTTTTAAATTAATGTTTTGATGAGAGTTAAGAAGTAAGAAATTATTGAAGCTAAAGACCCAAGACAACTTGGACCACTTTTTGAAATGATGGTTTTTATCATTGTATGGGGTTCTAATTTTTTTGTTTAATGTTTTTTATGACATATACGTATTATATATTGTGAATTCATATATTGTGTTAATTCGATTAAATTGTTTTAAATTAAATCAACTATAACTTCAAAAAGTGGCCCGAGATGTCTCGGGTCTTCAGCTTCAATATTCTCTTACTGGTCTTACTTCATAACTTTCATCAAATAAGTCAAATTAAAACATTTTCATCAAGTTAAAACAAAATATGAAGTCACAATATATAATATATGTATTAATTTTCATAAATGAAAAAATAAAACCTCACATAATGATAAAGATCATAATTTTAAAAAGTGGTCCGAGTTGTCTTGGGTCCGAGTTGTCCAGGGTCCGAGTTGTCCTGGGTCCGAGTTGTCCAGTTACCGTATAGTTGATATACAAGTTGACTGAAAGACATATGCTGAATTATGTATTATTTTAACCTAGTTAACAAAATCAATGTAAAAAAATTTACATTTTGGTTTTCTATCTAGATTTTACACTGTGCAGTTTACCAATTATGTCTTGTATTGGTGTTATTATGATTTTTAACATGCCTTTATTAAACTAATTTTATCTTTTATTATCAAATCCCTGGTTCACAATTCCACCTCAAAAATGAAGATGATTCATAATTTTAGTGATGTAAACAAATAAACAAACAAGCGAACAAATAAATGAATAAACAAACTTGCACAATTAGTAAGAATAAAACTGATATTTTCCTCATATGTATTTTCAGGCTAATGAACTGCAGCAACAGTTAGCAAGGCGCCGTAAAGAATTGGAGTATCGCTTCCAAGCCTTCACTGGAGATACTGTCATACCTGCCAAGGTCAATCATAGGACAGTGGTGTCAAACAATAATAAATACTCAAAGAATCCAAGAGTACTCAAATAATGTTGTACTACTGTATACTACTTGATCTGAGAAATGTGTTGTTCAAAAATGGTGCAAAAATAGAAAGGCTTCATTATGATTTTGGATAGTCTAGCTACAATCCCCTGTGACCACCCCCCCCCCCCCCAAACTACACAGGTATGAAAACTTCTCATATAGGAGAGGAGATGTGTAGTGGGGGCACAAAGACTTGTAGCTAGACTTGATTTTGGATTTTGATATTTATGAGATTGAGGATTTTGAAAAAACTATAGTTGGATGATTAGCAAAGGATGATGGATAACATGCGAAATGAAACCATTCCCTCAATATCACAGAGACTGGAATTCAATTTCATGAAGTTGGAAATTTGACAAAATTTAAGCAACTGTACTTCTGACTTGCAATGCATATTTACCATCTCAAATACAGGATGGGCCAAAAAATGTTACCCTTATTATATTAGGCCTATATTATTACAATTAGAATTGGTAGCTTTTTTGTTCCACCCTGTACATTGTCTCCATAGAAATTCATGAATGAATAAACCCAAGAGATGAATTGAATAATGAAAATAACTAGTTTAAGTTTTACTTTTTTCAATATTACAAGGTAGGCTATGTCTTCTATCAATAAACCTTTTAGAAACTATGATATAAGAGGGGTTATCCAAGAGTCTTGGACATTCCCCTCTAACTTTGCTATTTTTAATGAAACAATTACATGAAACTTTCAAATAAAAAAGATCAGCATCTTAACAACTTTGTGTATAAGTTTCACCAAAACACAATTAATTGGTTGCTTGGTAATAAAGAAAGTAAACAGACATGGTTTTACGTTCAAAATTCAAGAAAGTTGCCATGTGCAAATACAGTTCTGGATGGCAAGGTCCCTATATTAAAAACTATCTAGAAAAATAGATTTCTTCATGAAGCTAATACACAAAGTAGTCAGGTTGTTGTTCGTTATTACTAGAAAGGTTAAAATAATTTTATCAAAAATCAGCAACAAAATTAGATCAGGGCGTCCAAGACTTTTGTATCGCCCCTCGTATTATTTGCTAGATTGATGATGGAATTGGTTAAAATTTTCAAAATTAGCAATGGGTATTAGGGTTAATCCTATTTTACTTCAGGCCCATAAGACACTTTTCTCCAAGGGGGGTGCGGTTTTAATTAAAGAAAAAAAAGGTCAATGTTTTGCCGCGTAAATCAAATTGCGTAAGTCAAAGGGGGGGGGGGGGTCGGTTACTCCCTATATTGGGGTCACTCAGCCTATTTTGTAGTATTTTATTGTTTTCGTATTGTTTTTAGACGAAATATTGTATGAGCAATTTGGAGAAACACTGGAATAGGGGAAGGATGTACTCGAAGGGCATGAATGTCCGAGAACTTTTACCAGTTCAAGATCACATTCAGTGATTTCTGGACCCTTTCAAGATGTTTTATATTAATTGAATAGAATCTTTTTATAAGAAATTCAAATTTTTTCAATCAATTTGTTCTTAGGGAAACGAGGGGGCAGCAAGGAAAATTTTACTTATTCAAGATGCTGTCTGGCTAATTCTGAGCACTTTTAATGTGTTTGAGTAAATTAATTCTTTAGTTTTTGGGGTGGGCTGCCAGAAATTTTCATGTTTTTATGATTTCATTATGTCACTTGGTGACTTCTAGGCACTTTTAAAGTGTTTAAAATTAACAAATGCAACTTCCAAACTTGTGAGGAGTGACCCACTCCCCCTAGAAAATTTTACACTTTTGAGATGCTATTTGGTGCTTTCCGGGCACTTTTAACTTTAAAATTCTTTTTGGGGGTGTCAAAGAGAATGAGAGAGTGAAGTGGGGTGGAGTGCCAGAGGGGGAGCAAGGGGTTGTCCCCAAGAAACATTGACCATATCAAGGTGCCATATGATGATGTCTGGGTACTTTAAAAATGTCTGAGACAATACATGAAATTCAGAATTTTCTCAATTGTTTTGTGGGGGATGTGAGGGGGTGGGTGGCCAACTCTTCTAGAAAATTTTACATTTTCAAGATGACATTTGGTGCTTCTGGGCACTTTTGAAGTGTTTGAGTCAATCGAAAAAAAAATTGAAAAACAATTACATTTTTTCAATTTTTTGGGGGGTGTCAAAGGGGGGTGCCAGAGGGGGAGCAAGTGTTTGTCCCCCATATCTCCCACCCCAGAAACATTGACCATATTAAGGTGTTATTTGATGAAGTCTGGGCACTTTAAAAGTGTCTTAGACCATGCATGAAATAAATTCAGAATTTTTGTGAATTGTTTTGTGGGGGATGTGAGGGGTGGCCTACTTCCCTAGAAAATTTTACAATTTTAAGATGCTATTTGGTGCTTTCTGGGCACTTTCGAAGTGTATGACTCAATAAAAAAAATTGAAAAAATCACAATATTTTGGGGGATGTTTTTTTTTTTTTCATTTCTCATTTATTCCAAATATAACATAAAATACATTACAATATTATTGCCTACGTTTTTCAACATTGTCGGCAATATACAAAACATATAAAAATGGAAACAATGAAAATACAATAGATAAGGTACATAATATTAATGGCAGGGAATGTTAGAGGCTTTCAGGGGGGGGGGTTAATCTAAAATATCAAGAGCCTGGCAGATGTAATGGCTAACTATATGAATAATTTGTTCATTATCAGTTACAGTGAGATTTCTGTCTCCAAATAATAAAAATTGAATTTTTTCATGAGAGTTTAAATTTTGGAAACGATTGAAAAATCCTAAGGTTTTTAGTCCTGCTAGGAGAGTGCATCTTTCTTGTTGCAGCAGAGGGCAGTTTAATAAAAAGTGATGCGTTGTTTGTTGTATGTCACCACATACGCAGAAAGGGTCATTTACTGTCACAAAGTTATGGGAATATAAATGTGCTTTTAGAATCAGTCCAGCTCTAAATCTATTGAACAGAATTTCAATTTTCCTTGGCATTGTCATATTCATTTTAGTAGTGGATACTCTGGAGTCAGGGCTCATATTTCCTCTTACTAACCTTTTAAATCTAGATATTGGTTGGCCTTTCCTGTCCTCATATGGTATGTCATCCCACAGGGTCATAGCCCTGATAATGGTCGACTTTTTGAACGAATTACTGATTGGAAAGGGTATTCTATAATGCCTTGGTTGTCTTAGGGGCCGATTTGGAATATTCTCGTATGAACTAACTAAATCACAAATGAAAGGAGGGAAACAATGGTATCTAGCCTTGAAAGCAAAAATTTTAAGATGTTCTTCTCTCCTGGAAGCTAACGTTTTCCAGTTGAGTAATGATAAAACTTTCGATGTGTTTGAACCGTGTATTGCTCCTGACACATGGCAAGCTGCTTGATAATGAAGTCTATCCAATGTTAATAGTTTTGAAGTTGATGCCTTATCATATATTGTATCACAGTAGTCGAAATGTGGTAGTATAAATGAATTATATATATTCTCTAGGTATTTACTGTTTAGCATTTTAGTTAACTTTTTCAATGGTCTCATGAGAGAGATTACTCTCTCTATGAGTTGGTCAACATGTGAATTAAAGTTAAGATTTTGATCAAGTACTAAGCCCAGGTGTTTGTGTTTGGTGCAACTAGGAATCACATCTCCTCCTAGTTTTAAAGGGACTGGCTCTTGTAATAGTCTTCTATTTCCTGATACAAAGGTTAAGTCAGCACTTTTTTGTGCCTTAAAAGTCATCTTCCAAGTCATGGCCCAATTTGCCAAAATGTCAAGATCTCTTTGAAGTGGTTGGTGAATGTTTAAAATCTGATCAAAACTGTCATGTGCACTATAAATAGATGTATCATCAGCAAAAATAAATGTTTTGGATAGGAGATCATCTGGTAAGTCATTAATGTAAATTAGAAATAGGAGGGGCCCGAGGACTGATCCTTGAGGTACACCTGCATTGATTTTATAGTTATTTATATTGTGATCATTGTTATTATTATTGATATTTGTTCCATTATTAAGATTTCCATAATTTTCAGAAGACCAATCAGATAAGCTGTTGTTGACTTTGGCTCGAACCCTTCTGTCTTTTAAATATGATGTCATTAGCTGTACAAAATTGAAATTACAACCATAGCCTTTAAGTTTCTGTATAAGTAATCTATGCGGGACTAAATCAAAAGCGGCTGTTAAATCTAAAAAAGCTGAGCGGACATATTTATTATTATCTATATTTTCATGGATATTGTGAACAATGTTAATTAACTGGTTAACGGTGCTGTGCTTCGGGAGAAAACCACTCTGGAATTTGTATAAAAGGTTGTGTTGAAGCAGATGAGCCAAAAGATGTTTGTGAATGATGGTTTCAAGAACTTTCGAAAGGTTACTTAAGAGTGTCACCGGTCTATAGTTGCTGACAAGTTCCCTGTCTCCTTTTTTATAAATAGGAACTATGGGGGATGTCAAGGGAGGAGGGGGTGCCAGAGGGGGAGATGGAGTGGAGATGCAAGAGGGCGAGTAAGTGTTAGTCTCCCAGAATCATTGACTATATCAAGGAGCTATTTGATGATGTCTGGGCACTTTACATGTGTCTGAGATGATACATATTTAAATTCAGAACTTTTCAATTGTTTTGTTTTGGGTGGGAGAGGAGGCCCACTCCCCCTAGAAAATTTTACAATTTTAAAACGCTATTTAGTGCTCTCTGGGTACTTTCAAAGTGTATGAGTCAATTAAAAACTTGAGAAAATCACAATTTTTTTCAATTTTTTGGAGGGGTGTCAAGGAGGAGGGGTGCCAGAGGGGAGGTGGGGTGGGTTGGGGATCCCAAAGGGGAGCAAGTGTTAGTCCCCCAGAAACATTGACTATATCAAGGTGCTATGTGATGATGTCTGGGCACTTGGGCACTTTAAAAGTGTCTGAGACAATACATAGAATAAATTCAGAACTTTTCCATTGTATTGAGGGGGGTGTGAGGGGTGACCCACTCCCTCTAGAAAATTTTACAATTTTAAGATGCTATTTGGTACTTTCTGGGCACCTTAAAAGTGTATAAGACGATGAAAAAAAAAATTACCAAAAATTATATTTTAAAAAAATTTAATTTTTTTTGGGGGGGGGTGTCATAGGGGGGTGCGGTCGCACCCCCCCCATCTGACGGCCCTGTACTTGGACACATTGCTACCTTCAACCTAAACATCAATTTAGCCAATATACCATACATGTAGCTTCTTTGATGTACCTAAAGATGACAGGGTTTTTGAAAAAATTTAAGAAAATGGTCCATCTATAAATCGGCTATAATATGAATGAGTTTCAACATCATGATAAACCATCACATTTCATTTCATGCTCTATCAAAATATAAATCAGTATTATGGGTTAAATTTAGTGATCCAAGAGAGCCCAGATTTCAGGTATTTTTGATCTTTCATCTAAGTTTACGTTTTTTCATCTAATTAAGTGTCAGTAAAGTAATTGTGTAATTATCAAAAGGCAGTGACAATAGGATACAGCTATTATGAATGTATGCATCATGATAATCCATGACATCTCATTTCTTCTCAGCCCTGAGATGTTTCAGGTGAAACAGAAAGATGCTATGAGTATCAGAATGGAATGTATGGACATTAACGGCAATAATTATGTGATAATCACCACAAATTATGTGAGTTGAACATTTCATCAGAGAACTGTTATTCTACCATACCCTGGGCACGTTCATTTAGAGATTCATTTGTCAACTTTTTCTTCAAAAAGTAAAAGCACATGTATTGACTTCTTGCGTAAATCGTATGATCCTTTCATGCATTTTGTCCATTTTACAGACGTGATTTATGCCATTTTAGAAGAATCCACATGTGACATATATAACATAAAATTTTTAATCTAAATATGTACGATATGACATACAGATCGACTTCACATGCATCACACGATCAGATGGCTGCATGGTTCCAACAATTCAACATCGACGGATCCAGCAGCTTTGCATACACAATCCATGCGTGAAATAAACGTTTTACATAATAAAGATGTCGCACGTGTCAGTCCAAAAATAAAAGTTGAACAAATGTAAAAAATATTGTTCATTTAGTCAATCATAGTCATTGCTAGACAGTTAAATCAATGTAAATTGATAAAATGCTCGCTTGGATATGATCGTCAATGTCAATGTGGTCTAATGCACGGGGACAGTGTGAACAAGCTGTTCAAAAATGCACCATATCAGCTTCATGAAACGTTGTCCCAGGCACTTTGATGTCATGTTAAATTATATAGCAACCATAGCTCTACAGTTAACAACTTTTCATAAATATTTTGAAAAAGTTCATAGTCCCGATACTTGAAAGTACATTTAGGGAAAATTTGACCACGATCGGTGCTGAATTAACAAAATTGTAAGTTCTGATACTTTTATGACACCCTCTTACCATTAGCATCGTACTTTCGGGACACCCTGTACTATTATCGGCTCTACTTATTTGTATACATACAGCTAATCAGCAACTTTGAAGAAGGGTAATATTGTTTTTAATTCCAATCAATGTTGTCTTGCTTCACACTTCAAGACCCCTTCCCCTACTTTAACAACAGATAATAAAGCAGATAGGGTGGGGTCCAGGGTCTCGAAGTAAGACTACAATATAATGCAAAGTACGCATTGGAATCCATTTAAACAGCGCGTCCTTCATGTCTGAGGTAACTCAAGAAAAAATATCACAGTAAGTTTTACATGTTTTTTTTAACAGCATTCCAAATGCATTGCCCATTTCTTATTAACTTCTGTATGAAAACTACTTGATTTATTAAGTGGACGTCCAGAGTTTTTTGACTTAATAATGTATTTAAATATTTCTTTATCTCAATTTTAACAATAATTTTTACTATCACACCAGTATCAGATATCAAATTCCGAATCGTAAGATAAACGTAACACTCATGCATGTTAATTGGAAATATTGCTTCCAACACTTTACTAGTACACTCCTTATCCCTTCGAAGTAGGCGATTGATTAAATGTAATGAAACTATCATAAGCCTAACGTTAAATATAACATTTATGTGATTCATATTATCAAGTATTTGAAGACCTACGGGGATAGCATAGGTGCCATTGTACTGATAATTGGATAATAATATAATTCTGATATTGAATATATCCATAGAGACGCCTATAAACGATCGTTCTGATTCAGTTATTGTTTGGGAACCTTGATCTTCATGTGGCAGTATCAGAGGAGTTTCTACTAACATGCTGAATCAGCCGTATTGGGAGTAATTACATATTGAATGCATTCAACTGATTTGAAGTAGGTCATCCCCGGGAGGTCATCTACATCTAGTTTATCTGCTACAACAGCAGCGGCTGTATATCCGCACAAGGGTTTGTATATTTGCTATATCTGTTATGGCTTGTATATCAGTTTTAGTCTGCATATCGACTGCTTGATTTGTGCTACTAAACGTTTGCATGCAATTGCATATCTGCTGCAGCGTATCCAGTACAAGCTTCTATACGTGATAGGCCTACAGCATCTATACGCGTTATATCTTCCACAGCTTTTATATGTGTTACAACATATATATCTCCTACAACTCTGTTGTCACACTTGTATATCTGCAATAACTTTAATTTTATATCTCCCATAGTTTTTACATCTCCTACAACATTTATATCTCCTACACCTGGCTGTTTACTTATCTACTACAGTTCGTATCTAACGTTTGTAACTTTATATTTTATATAAACTCGATTTTCGATTGTCAATTGCTTATTTTTGGAATAATCTACGATTATTGATGAAACAAAAGAAAAAAGTTTATCATTTGCATTCGTTCGACTTTTCTTTTTAAAAGAGAGCTTCGTCTTCGGTAGTTTATAACTAGACTCTGCACGCAGTGTAAAAAAGTTTGGTTTATCGACATTTTACTTTTCGAACTCTTAAAAACAATGTTTTAAAGAAAGTTTAAACCACTTTGGCTTATACGAAGGTTGTATTATATAATTGGCTTCTATAGCAACACAGGGACATGATCGTGATCATGAAAAGCTTTAAAGTGTTATTCTATTTTTTTTAATTTTCAAAATATTTGGGAAATTGCTAAATTTATTCAGCATGGTGTTCTCCAAGTATAAATGATGACATTTAGAATTGTGATGTCATTATGCCACAGTTCAATAGTCTAGCTAACTCTCAAGTTCCTATTATAAGTGCACAAAAAGGTATTTGTTCATATTTTCAACTTTTTAATCGTTTTGATGTGACAAAAAGAACTGCCCCACCCTACCCTAACTCACCAACTTGATTTTATTATAACAGCAACACAGGATTATCATGATCAGTTGAAATGAAGTTTTGTTGAATAATCAAAATACAAGATCATTCCTTAAAAAGTTGATGGAAAAATATTAAGTATTGATAAAGTTAAAACAAATAGTGCATTACTTCAGGGACAACCCTCGTATTACTCAATGTTATCAAAATGTGGTTTCAATTTGAATTATCCCGACCGTCATATTGGCGATGCCCAAATTATTTGGGAGCCTGGGCCAGGATGAAGTATCCTAGATAGAAACTAGAAACATAGGATAGATCTGTTCTCGCACTGATTAAAATATGTTATGGTTACATCATTAGTCAAATTTTGTCCAAATAAGACAATACAGATATATACCATCATGATAAACCATGACATCTCAAATCTTCCCAGTTTCAGGTGAAACAGAAAGATGCTATGAGTATCAGAATGGATAAACACTCCCCTCCATAAGTTTGGCAACCTCAGCTCCCTCATTGTGTTAAAGCCTCTTTATGTTTAAATTTTTATTTACATAACCTGTGGAAAAAAACTTATAATATTGATGGAAATATAATTTGACTTCATTTCCAATGCCTCCAAATTTTCACATTTTTTTCCTTCAATTACAAGAAGTCGAAAATTGATGATAAATTTGATAAATTTTTGAAAATCGTCATTCCCATGTAAACCGATGGGAAATAGTGGGTTCGGGGCAAATCTGATATCTATCCAGTATATAACCTCGCTGGTTATGTAAATAAAAATTCAAGCACAAAGAGGCTTTAATACGTAGTTAAATGAGGGAGCTAAGGTTGCCAAACTTTTGGAGGGGAGTGTATTTATCACCAATATCTAATTGCTAAATGTTAAGGTTGCGCCATCATCTCGTTAACTAATCTTTTAATGATGAACTTGCACCATTATCTTATCCTCCAATGATGAGGTTGCAACTAAGCTTTTTAGGAGGTTGCACCATTATCCTGAAAAATCAAATCAGTACAATATATCTTCGGGACATTGACATAATTCCGAGGATATTCCCTGTTGAATCCTATCAATATGCAATCTAATTAATAAGTACTCGTATATAAGGAATATGAGCGATGAGACTCGCAGTCGTTGTCGAAGTAATATTAGTCAACATGTCGAGATACTAGGGCGAGGAGTCTGATTGATCGGGCATGGCAAAGTGCGCAAGCGAATACAAATATTCCTCTTATATTGCCGGTACTGCCATGATATGCGCACGACTGCACAGTAAAACTGGATGATATTATTTAACTAGTGTTATTAGGTACAGAACAGAATAGGAAGAATTGATCTTTTATGATTATTGGTTATCATTATTTGAAATGGAATGAAGACAACACGCAATTCTGCTTTGGATGAGATGGAACATCGTAACACCGAGGCCAAGAATCGTATTTAGCATCAATGCCTGAATGCACATTTTAAATATCTTTTAACATAACATCTGAGAAAATAATAGAAATTCTTGACGGAAGAAAAGATGGCAACTCAGCCCGATTGACAATCTATATTTCCACTAGAAGTAATTGTAATTGAAATGAAGCATTGCAATCTATTCGTCTGCTGTTTCTTGCCATAGAGCAGCGCAAATCAGTTGATCTATCGAGACTGTGTTATATTACGCCTTCTAGCCAATGTAGACTAGTACTGCATGCATGAGATGGGGACAGAAACAACGTAGTCCTTCATATTGCTTGCAATACACAAGGATCACACCAGGAAGTAAAAAGATGGATTAGTATATGGATTTAAAACACACATAAAGGAGAAGAAGAATGGAATATCACAATTTACAATTAGCTAAAAGATGCGGATCTATGGCAACGGGATGTAGTAACTAAGGTTGTGTATGGCTTTTATGGCATCAGCTTTCAACAAGAAACCGTGATCATGCCACAGTTGATAGCAATTAGGTCTCAAATGATACATGAATAATAAAAAACAATTTGATATTACGTGTTACATTTACACGTCACACGTCAGCACGTCTGATACAGACGAGTCGTTTGTAACAACCGTTCTTAATTAAAGAGGGTGGATTAATCGCGAGGAATGCCTCTAGCGAGGGAACGAGCAGGCTCTACGGCATCCAAGACCAGTTGGAAGAGCAAGCCACCACCCGTCGGTGAAGAACCCCATAGTCGAGAACCAAGCCTTCTGTCTGCCGATAAGGTAAGCTACCGGGTCACACACCCGCGTTTAATGGTTTAATTACGTGATAATTATTTTACCATGGTTACTGTGGCGAGACACTGCCATGATTAATATCAGTAATTCAAAGAATTACTTTTTACACGTTTTAATCTTTTTTGCATGATTGAATTAAACATGAGGGCATCATAACAACCTTCGATGTAAATACATGATCGCGTATGGAAATGAACTACACAGGTGGTCGAATTCACTGTACATTTTCTGCTTTGGTGCACAATGGTATTTTTAATTGTATTTTCCAAGGAAGTTTCAGCATTGGCCATAATGTGGCTTATGCTAAAGCTGTAATAATTCAACTATCACATACATGATGCATAGAGTGAATCAAGAAAACGGAACCAACAAAGTTTTGAATAATAGTCTCAGATAAAAGGTTAGGATTCTGTTTATTGGGTCACCCTGTACGTTATGTTCCAAGAAACGTGCACTATGATCACTATCTAAGTATAATGCCTTACCATGATGATTCCGCGTATTCGTCGTTAGCCACATCCGATATTACCAGAATGTCACAATATATGAAATAAGAGCATCTCGATGATGACGCAATCTTCCTAACTTTCCAATATACCATTTGAAAGGTGAGAAAAAAGCCTACGACGAATAATAGTTAAATAATTAGCACAAAACCAGATCCGTATGTAAAAGTTTTGAAAATTTGAAATCGAAATTTGAAATTGAAATATGAAATATTTGAAAATATGTCAAGATTTATTTCTATTTAGTTTGACAAACGATGGAAAATTAATCCCAGCAAAGTGAGAGAATCATGTGAGAAGCATATATATAAGACCGACAACGTGTGAACGAAACGTTATTCTATGACATGTGCGCGAGTATGTGTGTTTATTGATATTTTATAATCTTGTGCGTACATGATATTAATTCTATCAGATTTCATTTGATTGCAATTTGTTTCTTAGAATTACATGGATTGTCGGAATAGAGTCTTTGAAGATGCTATTGGCTATTGTTAGCTTAGATTCCATGTACATGGTCTACTATTAGACTGATCTACGTTAAAGACGCCGACGTCTTAACTCAATAGTTAATAGTAATAGAATGAAGCAGTTCAATTATACCAAGGCTACATGTAGCTTCTCCGAAACCTTATTTGGAAAAATGAATCCTCATTTGTCATTTCTAATCATTAATTCCAGAAAGCCCTTGTCCTCATTCGGCCGGCATTCGGTCCTTTCCGATATTTCTAGATTCGGTACACGTGATTTCTCCATTCAACATGTCTCTTACCTCATCCACTGTCTGTTCCCTCACATTATTCCATCCAGAGGAGAGTATTGTCATTATTGTTGCTCGGTATGTTGTACTCTAACTATTCAACCCTTCGTCTGTTCCATCCCAATCTTCCCATGGCCCATAGACTGTGGCACTTATTCAGTACCACCCATTGTGGGATCCACTGTGTCTCTACCATCCCTCTCATACACGGTGTCCAGCCCAAACGCTCTTACATGCATGACGGAGCGTTATATTCACGCGGAAACGCTGTGGAGCGAAATAAAATGGCTGCTAATGAAGATCCCACTATGACCGTAAGTATTGTTTCACTCGTTTCTCTTACATATCATACGTTATGGTGACATATTATGTATCATACCATGAACAATACCCTGAGCAAAGAACTTATTTATTCAACTTCTGGTGATAAACTGTTATTTGCTTGATCAAAGTTCCATAGTGTAGATCGACTAACGAATCTGAAGTTGACGAATTATCCACAAATTACGAATTAAACTAGTATTTATATGAAAACGTCAATCTTTCTGTCAAAGTAGAAGATCACAAACTTGTATATTCTCATTTTCTAAAATCCCAGTCCAAGTCCATTACTTGTTCTCGAGAAATCGCTTGTTTTCCTCGAAACGCTCCGTCGATTTAGGACACAATTTTAGAAACGCTCTTACCATTTTGTTTTTGACCAGTAGAATGACAAATACGTTTATGAATTTTGATAACTAACTATACTGCTTCATACAGCTCTTCCTAATTACCCAGATGCGAGTTGGTAGTTACCAGTTTCGCCACCAGGTGGCTGAGTCGTTGGAAATAACATGGCAGGGTATTACAGAATTCCCTTAAACTTGAATATTCATCAGTTTAAGTGGTTCACTTTTCATATTACCCTAATGTATCTGATAGTTATACAAATCAAAATATGTCCAGTAAAACAAAATATTATCTGCCCAACACAAGAAAAGATATTTCCAATTTTGTGATTTTACAACATGGGGGCCATGGGGAATCTCCCCGACCTAGAAGTCACATTTTCAAAGAAAATTAAATTTGATAATTTGATAAAGTTGATAAACTCTTTTTAAACCATATTTCTAGATGTAACTTTACATGTAGATTCCGAATATGACATCAGATTGACTTAATTTTGAGTTTTTAATGACGTAAATCAAGATTATTTCTACTTGCATCTAGGCTATTGCTTCAAACGCCAATAGCCAGCCAAGTACAAAATGACTATCGCATCCATCGAATGGTATACACGAAATAAGTAACTCATACTTCTTATTCCCATTATTGGGGAAATCGTCAGACGGCTCATCATTCCCGCCCGCCAGTTTTCCTACTCCGGAGCGTTTCTTTGTTTAGTTTCAGTGATGAAACGCTCCGTCGTGCATGTAAGAGCGTTTGGGTTGGACACCGTGTCATAGGTTTGAGATAAAGAGAGACTTGAATCAGAATGAGTATACGTACCTGCCAATCAACATCAACTAATATCCCATCTCCCCTTATTGATAACTTCTGCCATGGCCCGGGTACCCTGGACTTCTATCTCGATAGAGGTCCATGCTTCTGCGGTATCATGGGCGCTACAGAAAGCCCATGCCACGATAGTATGGAACTAATCAATCACACTAAAGTGGCATCTGATGTATTCAGAGAACATTATTGTATTTTATTGATACGTTATAAGCTCCTATGTTAGTTACCCTTTGTTCCCATTCCGAAATCATTTCCAGTTCCAATACTCCCACCTAATCAAGTTCAAAATAACATACCGTGAAAATATATATTTGTTCATCCGCATGCAATCGCTCTTTGTTGTATTCACAACTTCTTTATAGTTAGAAATTTAGAAAAAAGTTCAGAATGACATTTTTTAATATCTTGGCCAAAAAGGAGAACAAGAAAATGTGTTAATCAACTTCCAAAGTTAATTTGCTCTAGATGCGAAATAATTGAAATGTTTCCAAATGTAACTAATTGTATTTTATTTATTTATCATACTTTTAATAGGAGACTAAACTTTGACATGTTTGAGGTTTAGATATAATTTCAAGTGATAATACCATATTACAACAACGACATCTTGCGATTTATATATCACTCATTTAACAATTTAGAATAGTCAGCATATTTTGTACATCACATTTAAAAATATGAGATGCCTCTCTTGTATGCTTTCAATATGTATATGAATTTTTCGTACATTACTTTGTAAATGTAGAAATAGTTTTAGTTAGTGTTAGTGAGTAGTTGTGACTAATGTAATCATGACAATATGTCAATAAAAGTTCTATATAATACACCATTTGGAAGACAAGTGTCTTTGGAAAGGAGCTCATTTCGTATCCTGAAAAATAATATTATAACATTTTGCAATACTCATAAATAGGGTACAAGGGGATTTTGAAATAGTTCCCTTGAAATGGGTTTTTCATAAAACATATACCACCCTAATTGGAATGGTTTATATGCATATATTTACCATATTTATTCTATATTTACCATCTTTAATCAACATAATGAAAACATATATTCATTGGAGGTTTAAATATATTTTTTTCCACCCTTGGGTGCTATATTGTAATCAGTTTTTCAACATTACTCGTCATGTTCAATTTTGAGATAAGATTTCAGGTTTGACATAATTACTTGCTTCCAAGCCCCGTCAGCTGTTTATAGCATCTTAGTTATTGTTTTTCAGTATATTACAATTAATCATTATGCAGTTATGCTGTACAATAAAACTTTGACTGTGATACGGCTGATACTCTCAGCTTTCCAATGGTATATTGGGGCAAAGTATATCTTACTTTAACCTGACGGAGCATCTTATATGTCTTACGGGTCTTACAGTAGCTCTAAAAGGAGGAAATATTTTGCAGTAGAAGTAATTAAAGGTCCATGTGCAGTATGGCAAGCGATTTTAGACAGTCATATCTTTCACCATGGGTACTTTCTGGCCATCAATGCAGTTGTTTTTATCAAAACAATTTGCTTTCTTTCAAGCGAAATCCCCATGATAGTTACCCTGCACGCAGAGTCTAGTTAAACTACAAGACGAAGATGAAGCTCTCTTTTAAGAAGTGAAGTCAAACGAATGCAAAGGGTACATGATAGTAAAATATCAATCCAACTCTCTGAAAAATTATGGATTAGGACCCCACCTTGGCACTTTTTTAGAAAATGTTAGGGTCATTTTCTAAAAAGAAGATCTTGTTTTTCTCAATTTAAACATATTGAAAGTTTCTTCTACACTATATTATTATTAACATTTTCTGAAAAGGGGATGCGTATTGAAATGCGTTAAAGGTAAAAACCACATATCCCACGTTATTTTCCCATAGGGAAAACTTGTGCTATCCATTGTTGTCAGCATAACTTTTGGTCATCGAAAATTGATATCTTCAAAACTAGCCTTTAAATACCATTCTAATTTTGAAGAAGTTTTAGACCCCTTGATGAATAATCTTTTCATGCAATAAAAACCAGAAAAAGAAGATCCTCTTTTGAGTAAATAGGTTCAACATTATGAAAAAAATGTTGACATGGGGTCCCTATTCATAATTTATCGAGTTGTTCGATTGATATTTTTATCATCATGGGTACTTCACTTGAAAGAAAACATTGTTTTAATAAAAACACTGTATTTATGACTAGAAAATATTCATGGTTAAAGATATGACTTTCTAAAATCACTT